GTGTCCAATGGAACTTCAGCTTACCCAATGTTCAAGTCGGCCATACCGGATCAGTTTATGAGTCTTTCTGAGAGTGAAAGACAGAATGTCCATGTGCTGGTTGTCGAAGACAAGTAGGTTTTTTTTTCACGAGAATACATGACTGAGGAGATTGCTCACGAAACCGTCTACAGCCACATCAATCAGCAAATCGCCCTCAAAACGATTAAGAAGTTGCACTTTTCAGTCAATGCAGTGTGGAACGGCCAGGAAGCACTTGAATACCTGGCCAAGGAATTCGGTCCGTTACATCCACGTCCGGACATCATCCTTATGGACGTCCAGGTAAGTAAACCATGTAAGGCTGATGTGGCTTGGCAGCTGACAAATGGTTGCAGATGCCCATTCGTGATGGTTACTCTGCCACGCATGCTATTCGGACAGAAGCTCCTTGGCGCAACATGCCCGAGGTTCAGGGTGTTCCTATTGTTGCCATGACAGCGAGTGCAATCCAAGGAGACAAGGAAAAGTGTGTGTCGTGTGGAATGGATGTGAGTACTGAAATAGACATGTACTAGTGTATGGAAGAGCGAGAAGTGCTGAAACTTGACAGGACTATTTGGCAAAGCCAGTAAAAGGAAAGGTTCTGGAGAAGGTAAGTAGGTTCCCCAAGCAGACGAGTGAAATCGCTAACGACCAAAAGATGCTTGTCAAGTGGGCACTCGAAGGACGGCGAAAAGCGGCAAGGGAAACGCCTTGCACAAATGACAAGGATCGACGGAGCAAAACAGTTCCGAACCCTGGAAACAGCTTTAGCGCTAGTGATCACCCGCGAACGGCAGGCATGTCTCTGGAATCTGAAACGACGGCGCAAGCACTGACCGCGGAACTTGACCGCCTCCACTACCAGAGCGATGCAGCGTTTGCAAGGTCCAGTGAAAATGAGAGTGAAAGAGCCATGCGACGAATTCATGCGGAGGAGAGGGATAGGAAATTGCGGGATGAGAAACTATTCTCGCTCGTAGGGCCTCAACTGCTTCACCACGAGGCATCCGAGGGGCCCAACAGTGAGCCGTCAATGCCTTTGACCGTGGAAAACATTGAGAAGCTGGTGCACGAACAAGACCCGGATGGCTCAGTCACGAGAAAGTCACCGTCGCCGGACGAGATGGACTCGAGTGCTACCAACCATGCGCCTCACAGCATAAGTGAGGACAACAACCACTTAGGCGTGCCCCGGCCGGGATTGCAACAGGTCCGGAATCGTGAAAGCGAACAGACCATTGTCGAGCAAGTGGCTCGATGAAGCAAGTGACGTTGAAAGAAAGGGAGAAGCCGAGATGATACCGTCAGGTTGACGTGCAACTGAGGAGTGAGAGCAAAGGCTGCTCTTTCCTTTTTGGAAGCTTGTCCATGGCGTACTCCACCAAGAAAGGTCATGCGTCAACCGTGCAGGATTTCCCACTCGAGTGGACGGGTTGAGAATAATCAAACAAGCACAAGGGCTGTTGGCAAGGGGGGGGCGCGCTCAGCTACGACCACGACCGCGACCACGACCACGGTTTGGGGAAGTGATGATGATGATGAAGATTATGAAAGTTTGAATGTTGGGGCTGGGGTGGGCGGAGGTAAAGGGAGGAGGGGCCGCTTCAGCCAGGCTATGTGATGATTGGTACGGCTTCCCAAGGCATCTGAGCACGTGCTTTCCCGCTCTCACGGTAGCAGCCAGCAGCAACAGCACGGAGGGTGATATCCATGCAATCTCATGTCAGAAAGAAGAGTGTGGCTTTCGTCTTATAGCAGCTATGCACTTTTCAAAGACGTCATGTGCAATGAGAGGCTACTTTTGCCGTTAATAAGCAATGTTGTATTCTAGTGCACATCGCTCAGAAGGGGTAAATGCGACGTACTTGGTGAGTGTTTTTGGGGCGGACGGGCGTAGGGCGGGCTGTTACGAGTAGTACTGTAGCATTGGCACTGACATGGGGTGGTGGTGGTAAGGTATTGGTATTGGTATTGGCATTTTCGCACGTTGACAATTTCTCTCTTTCTTCTTCTTGTTTTTTTATCGCGCATAAAAGGGGAAGGGAAAGATGACAGTGTAGGATCTGAGGTGATGGTCACAAGGCTTGGCGTGCGGTTCGAATTAGGAAGTGGGCAAGATTCCGATCTGCGAACTGCATTGCACGTTCGTTAGTTTCCACATGGCAGCCCGTCTCAAAGTGGAATTGGATAGACAATCACTTCCCAAAGGATTGACTTTATGATGAAGATCATAAGCCTTGGACGTTAGAGAGGTGCGGGAAGTGGGATGAAGATCATAGTAGACAAGCCAGATAGGATTTTGGACATGCAGAATCTCCCGCGCAAACCTTGGAGATGCACGGACACTTGTTGTTTGATTTGTTTTGGTTACGCAGCCCACGCGCCTTGCCCCCCCCTTCAAGGCTGTGAGGGTGACAGCCCACGTTACTCCCGCAGTTTCAACAAACGTTACATCGGGCGGCTTGAGCACTTGGGGCACTGCGGCACGCCGACTCGAGGCATTTTTCTCTTGGCATGCTAACTTGTGATTGGTCGGCAACGCGGGCCCCATTGCGCCGCTGCCCGTAACGAGCTTTTTGCTCAAAAAGAATGGATGTGCAAGGTTATGTACAGGAGTGTACATGGCAGGGTGCCAGAATGTCGGGTTCTCTTGATTCGCTGCCTCGCCGACCACATTTGCTTTGCCATTTCAATCGAGTGCTTTGCGCTTGTCTGATAGGCTTTCGGCTCACTTGCTGCCCTGTTCTCTAGTGAGCCTCTGCTGTAGCCCTGGTGGGCGGTCCACCTTGTGATGACTCCGCAGTTGGCCTCTTGCGTCAAGGAATGTTAGTCGACCGGTGTGAGAGTCCGTACTACAACAAGGACAAATGCAAATTCACTATCTCTATCTTGCCCATGTCGAAAGATATATGCGCCCCCCGGCTGTCAGAATGCGCTGATCGCTCTTGCAGAGCCGCACTTGTAGCTCACGACGGAACCGTGGGGTAGGCTTGATGGCGATCTCCAGGAAAATGGAAACAGTGTTGCACATCGGATATAGAAGTGTACATGCGTAGGTGTACAACCATGTCTACAGCAGCTTAGACACGCTATACAACGCATACGAGGGGGGGAGAGAGGGGGCGGGCGGTGGATTTGGTTCTCCACGCACTACGCGCTACTACTCGTATTGGCTGACTAGACTCTGATCTCGGAAATAAAAAAGAGAATCCACAAGCTTATCGACGAGTCGCCTTGCTTGGCAAGCCAACACAAAGTCGGCCTCAACAAGTCAACGGCTGATAAACTGAGGGGATGCGGCCGAGCTTACGAATGCAGGGTCCAGTGTGCAAATGCCGAGCACTTCCTGGCCGGTAACGGACAAGAGGGCATGGGAGCATGGGACGCGCAAAATTGCGCTGTGGCGCGAGGTTGCGGTCACTTTGAAAAAAAGGGCTGTATCCACTGGTCTTGCCATGGGGAGGCCGAATGGACACAGCGGAAGCGGTAGGGCAGTTGAGCAGGTGCTACTTAGTTGTGGTCATTTGGGTTGACGGCTCGACGAAGTAGAGCAGAGTAGCGCTTCCGCAGACAGGTGCATGGCCGCAGTAGCGCTGGAGAAAGGCGCAAGCATGTGGATACCTGGCGCTTTCAAGTGACTTTGGAGAGCGGGATGGCGCTGCTGCTACAGGAGTTGCCCTGCATCACAAGGCGCCGCGGAGCGCCCAAAAGTGAGGGGTGTGAGGGGGGAGTGCACAGTGCAGTGGTGGGTATGTAGTGGGTAGTGGGTATGTAGTGGGTAGTGGGTATGTAGTGGGTAGTGGGTATGTAGTGGGTAGTGGGTATGGGTAGTGGGTGGTAGTGGCCCGGGCACGATGCACATGGGATGCAAGGCGGCCGTGCAGTGGCAGCAGACAGCCACTCAGACGGCGCAGTCATGTGCGCTAGTAGGCGGTGAGATGGCAGTTCCCCGTATGCATCGTCTTGGCTCCTTTGCCACTCCCCTCATCACTTGCAAAGGCAATGCGGCGACGACTTTGCCCACCGCATCGCGCCCGTTGCTGTCCAGTAGAGTACTAGAAAGCCACTGCGCCAGCGGCCGTCAGATACACGACAGAGTTCCGACATGACTTGGCTGGCGATGGTTATGCATCCGGTGCAGGCACACGCACACCCCTCACTCATACTCTGCTCCCACGACGACTATACTTACTCGAGCGGCACGCAATGCGCACTTGGCCGCCTCGACATCATCTTGCATGCAGTGCTGCTGTCGCCAGGTACAAATTGTGCGGTGCGCCAATCAGATGCCGCTAGAAGCCACCCCCAGCTAGCAGCAGCGCTATGGCGCCTTTTCCCATGACGACATCCAAGGCCAGCGCCCACTTTGTCTTGCTGCCCTCACTCAGCAGGGTGTGTCATTGGGAATACAGGCGGGGCTTGGCTCTCATCACTGCTCGCAGCTAACAGGTCCCACGCGCTTGAGTAGCTATGTACACTTACATACACGCAGGCGTGTCTAAGTGGGTGGGTGTGAGTGCCAGTGTGTCGTGGGAGCCATGCTGTCGTCATTGGCAGGCATGGGCGCTGTAGGTGAGTACAGCAGCACTATCTGCTCGTCCTGATGGGTATGCCACTACCGCTTCGAGAGGGTGCTGTGCAAAGCAGGTACGGCGACGAGATGACGCTGTCCCCTATTGGAGCGAAGGCGTCTTCCCCCATCCAGCCCACTTGTCCCAAACTGACGTGCAAGCCTCAGTTTTTTCGGTCCACCATCTGACAAAGCCCTCTCAGACATCTGGCATCAAAAGCAACGTGGACGGCGATCAAACGCTTGACCATTGCTTAGGTGTGCGCACAGGCGCATATGCCTCAGGGGACTAATTTCACCAGAGGCGCTTTTTTTCTCTCCTTGACGCCGCCGTGCACAACGGAGAGTCAGGAGGGGGGCGGAATCCGCGCTAGGACCAGGTGGACGACGGTGGGAGAGTTCGAGTTTACGCAACGTCGTGGAGATGGGCTGTGGCGGTCCGACTCCGCGACGCGAAAGCAGCGTGCCCGGCCAGTGTCCGGCGCGATGCACCTCCAAAAGGGCAAGTGTGTGAAGCCGCTTTTTCGGTCCCTCTTGCTGGCGCGGGCCTTGATCCTAGACGACCGTTGTTGTGCAGCGACGCTTCTTGAGTCGTCGATGCTTTCGCGCTCAGAGTGGGAGAAAAAGCACAGCGACCACTACTACCACCACTACCACAGGGGCATACTACACGACACACACCAGCATGCACACCAGCACCCACCAGGATGATGACAGCGACGCCCCATTACCATGGCCGTGCCGCCCACACCCACACCCACACCCACACCCACACGCACGCCCACGCCCACGCCCAGCATGGCTGCGGAGCCCTCGCACTGTCCGCTCCGCACATATGGCTAGCCGTGGTGCCCAAATGGGAAGCATGCAATTGTGAGCATGCGTGCTAGGCTGCTTCAATGCGCGTCGTTGGCCCTAGTGGTGGTGGAGGCGCGCCAAAACAAAAGCCAAAAAGCCCTCCCGCGCCTGCCGCCCGCTGATTCGCGGCGCGCTGGCTGGCAGAGAGCTTATTGCTAGCCTTGTTGGCCGGACAGGCGTAGCACGAGTGGTGGACTCGAGGGCCTGGTGGGCTTGGTGGGCTGCTGGTCGCCGACGGGGGCGCAGGCTTGCCGGCCATGGTTCAGACGACGAACGGAAGGCAATAGCCATGGTGCGGTGCTAAGCCAACGGCACACACCGGGCTGTTGAGGCTACAGTGCCAGATGGCGCGGATGCAACGCAGCCCGTGGGCACGTCGCTGAACGACGGCTCTCGCAGCTCCACCTGCGTAAGTAGGTAAAAGCAGCGGTGGGCGCGCGCAGGGCTAGCGTCGACTGCTGCCCCCCTGTCGGCGCAGACGTAGCAGCGTCCGGGGTGATGAGCCAGCGTGCCAGCTCCTCTCTTGCCTGCCTGCCTGCTTGGCCCCTAGCCTATGATGGTCCTGCTGTGAACCCAAAGACGTAAACCCTCCACGCACACGAATTTATCAATGAGGGCTCCCCGACTGCTTGCCCGCTGATCAACAGCCTCTTCACCTTCTGCGCACTGCCCAACCCTGACTTTGGCCCTGCCCCAACCCCCGTCTATACTGCTTTCATCCTCGCTGCCCTCTTATCCTTACTTGTTCGTCGCTGGCTTGCTTTTCCTGGCGAATTAACGTTACCGAACTTTTCCCACGGCGACACGCAACACGCAACCCACCCCACACCCTCCGCCCCTGCACCCGCTGGGCATTCTCCTCCCTCCGAGCACGGGTCCTCGACGTGAAACGCCCGAGCGTCTGCCACTCGGTCGCTGGTGTCCGCTTCGCCCTACACCTAATCTCGCTGGCTCTTTGTCACGGGTCCTGCTTAGTACAGGTCAACTGATCGACATACCAAAGCGATCATCATTACTTCTCTCGGAATACCACTGCACGGGAGTCCCCAGTGTCAGAGAGAATTCAAAAGGTCGCAGATCCCATCGTTGACTGCCTGTGATCGACTATCTCCACGTTTTTGACCCTCGACTACCTTGTTTCACCTTTTGGATCTACGAGTCGAGTCTTGACCGTCGCACTCAGCTTCATTCTCTTGTAACCACCTCCCCCTCCTCCCCCTACTGGACCCTTTACCATCCCTTCGCAACCGCTATCCAAAATCTCCGCAATGGCAATGGCAGTCGACAATCGCCAGCAACCCCAGCTCAACGGCATGGGCTACGACCACATGCGCTACCCACAACAACCACACTTCACCAACCCATGGGTCTCGGCCAGTACCTCACAGCAGCAACTCTACCAGACAACCGTGGCACCCAATGTCGACGCACAACGCCCCACAAGCATCGCCATTCCCTACCACGGCATGCCCGTTACAGCCCCTCCCATGGCACAAGGTATTACTCTCCCGGGTGGCAACTTCGCAACACCAAACTTACTTGATGCCTCTGAAGATCTCATGTCACGCGGATACCCAACTGGCTATGCTACATCCGCCTCTCCTCAAAATCAGACCTATGCTCCTACTTCGGCTCCATACTCCCAGGTGGAATACGCAAACACAGAACGGAGCCCATATGCATTCCAACAGGATGCCTCTCGTCGCTCTTCACACCCGTTAGTCCCCTCAGTAGCATTCTACGAATCCGTCGAGTCCCAGCGACAGCGCCAAAGTTCACTTGTTGACTTTAGCAGAATGAACAGCCAGCAGCCACGCAACAGCTTTAGCGATGCTCTCGATGCCAGCCGCGGCATGGTGTCCCTGAGCCAGTCTGACATTACCCCAAGGAATATCTATGGTACTCAGGGAACCAGCCGCAGCTCCACAGAATCCTACGGATTTCCTTCGACACACTCCGCCCACTCTTCCATCTCATCTGCCAGCTATGGTCCCAACGGATACTACGGTGGCGAAGGCTCAGTCACCGACTACAGCTCCGCTTCCGAGTCTGTTGACCTAGGCAGCTCGCGCACCCTTCCCCGTCCCAACGCACTCCTCGGCGCAAATATGCCCCCTGCACCTGCCTCCATGATGAGCCAGTTCAGCTCAAAGGTCTCATCCAGCTCGCAAAAGAAGCACAAGTGCAAGATTTGCGACAAGCGCTTCACTCGACCAAGCTCCCTCCAAACACACATGTACAGCCATACTGGAGAGAAGCGTAAGTTTTTATCACCGACTGTCTTTTTTTGGGGATTTTCTCGTTAACAGTATTATAGCATTTGCTTGCGAAGTAGAGGGTTGCGGACGCCACTTCTCCGTTGTTTCCAACTTGAGGAGACACCGAAAAGTACACAAGAACGACGGCAGCATCGACCACCCATCACCAGACAGCGTCGACCACTAAAGGACTTTTAGGTCCACGTCGTTTGTGTTCACGCTTGTTTACCTGTATCATCATCGGCCTTGTCGCTCGTCTAGCACGCCTGACATTTGAGATACCATTGTTGCGCATTTGTCGGCCAAGATGTTAGAGCGAACTGCATCTAGTTTGGATGTTTCTTCCACCTATCGCCGCACATTACTTGGCTTTTACGGAGATACCACCTGGCCCTATTGCCTACGAAGGAGGACCATCACGGCGTTTTCTGGCGTTTCCATCTGCAAGCCATTCACGAGTATCTGTTTGTTATCTTTATTTCCTTTCGGGTTGGAGCGATTTCCTCAACACTGTAATATTACGCGCATCGATCGCCTGGGCTAGGACACTGTTTTTCCTTATCGCCTGCACATATTCGCCTAATTCCCAGCTGTGCTCGACAAGGCCTCCGGTCCACTGTCGTCACGAAGCACATGCTGTCATCATTCGCTTATACCCTTTAATATTTTTTAGACTCTCTTTTAGCAGCCACCCGGCCGATGCAGCATTGCAGCGGATGGTTTGCAGAATGACGTTTGTACATTAGTAGTAGCGCGCTTAGGTGCCACATAGCGACTGGCAGTAGCCAGGGTAACCATCAACACGACACTGAGTCGAGTTCAAGCAGCGCAAGAAAATGACGCATTTTCCCGTATAATGGAGGGGAATGCGGCAGAATCAAAAAGACCCTTGTTTAATTCACAATTGCGCCCTTCCTATTTCGACGTGTTTTCCTTTATCCTCTGTTCCGCCTGCCAGCACTGTGACGACACTGCAACTATGTGGTATGGTACCATGGATCCGTGAGCTTTCGTCATACGGGCGCACCCGGTTTCAGTTGGACCAAAACGTCAAAAGCCATTGCTCTACCCTTTTTGCAATGCCATCATTTGGCGTTCGGTGAGCGGTGGGCTTACGACCGGGGAGATGCTTGGCACTCGTCATGCAGCATCATATCCCTGCTAGCCGCTGCTGGACCCTGAAATTTGGCCCGCCTCCACTGGCCTCCCGTCTGTCAGCGAGTGGGATACTTGCCGATGCACCTTGTGCCGGAGGGCTGCTGTGCCGATGCCATCCTCCATCCATTGACACGCCCCCTCATTCCTGGATTGCCCCTGCTCAGCGCCTTGATGTTGCGTACGAGGCTGCGCAAAACACGACAATTCACCCTCCACAACTCAACTGCAAACGTGCAAAGGGCCGGTGTGCATGTGTGTGCTGACAACATCGGACTTTCTCTCTCTTCTTGTCTCAGGCACCGTGTCGACTGCGGGTCTTGATGGCCTCTACACACGGGCTCCCAACCACGGTCCTCACTCTCGTGGTGAGTGGGTCACACGTTGAAGTCCGGTCCGAAAGGAGCCTGAGATGAGATCGTAACGTGCCTGACTGTATCCCATCCCTTTACCCGTTCCTTCGAGGCAAGATCGCCGGGAGGACGCGACGCCTGACAGCGTGTCGAAACACAGGGCTGACGGTTATGTCCATACGCATTGTTGCGGAAACATGACGACCCAAATTCTCTCGAGCTTTGATGGATTCCTGCTAGAGTGCCTGTCTCCGCTGCTACTAAACTGGGTCAGCGGAGAGGAGAAAGCAATTTGCTTTGCAGTAACGCCGGCAAACGTCCCGTAAGGGAGGTTACCCACAGACACCTTTTCCATGCGTTTCCCTCTTGCCACCCACACCGGCCCCTCTACTTATCTCGGCCCTTGAAATGCTGTGCGCCAAATAAGACGAAGTCTTCACTCCTACGGTAGCCATCATGCATGTCATGAAGCGGTATTGGCATCGTTCCCTTGCCTTATTGGCAGCACACACACACACACACACACACACACACACACACCATCTACCACTTGCCCTGCCGACTAACAACCGATAGTGAGGATGTATGCATGCGATCAAGACAGGCAGTTGACTGTCCCAGCTGAGTGCCAGTTCTGTGGTTATGTGAAAGGTAGAGTACTGTATTCGAGACGACAATATCCAGGTATGCGATTATTTTTAGCCTGTATACATATTGTTTTAGGTATTTCTAAATGCACCAACGTCTCAACTTAACCAGGCATGATTGAGTGTTTAATATACTCACAATGCCAGCCCCCTGCCTCGAGTGTTGTTGCACTTTGCGGAAAACAATTAGATGAAAAAACCTGCCAGTAACTGCACCATTGTTCCTGTGGCTGTCTTGCTATGCGGAACAAGAACCCGTGCGACTTCAGCATATCACCACAGGGTATTGTGTGAGAGTTTAAAGATACATACATGTATTGCGACAACACTTGTGTTCAGTAGTGGCAAAAAGTGTTCAGAAATTGATTTCTAACTCGGCTAGCCATTTACTCACAAGAGAAGTGCAGCCTGCAACAAGAAACCCACACAGGGTCCATTATGCTAACCTTTGCGGAAAATGTCTTCCGCTTTCGCAGACACGAAGTTCCCAGTAACGAGAGCGGAGCGACATCGCTTGCATGCCAGCTGCCAAGCCGTCCTTCTTCATGGCCAATCCTTTGAACCACTCCAAGAAAGCCACTCTACCAGTTCAAGCATCAATTTAATCTCCACTGCTACTGTGTGCCGCTCAGTTCGCACGGATATGCTATCATCCAACAGTGGTGCTCAATCTCACGGAAAAGTGGACCTCATATCGAGATTAAATCAACCCCGCAATCCCATATCTGATCTAATATGGTTTCAGGATTCCGCACAGCTGTCAAAAAGTCTCCACTGCTTAAACACGCGCAGCTTCGGGTTTCTAACCGATGCTCTTCCACCTTCCTGATTTGTTGATAGCTCAGGTAATTTCAGCTTTCACGGACCCATAGGCCGCGCAATCATCCGCGCTACGAGCGGATTACTTGCATTCATGATAGCTTTGTCAGCCTCGTGATGTCTGGGTCGTGTGTACCACCGTACCGTTTGGACAATGACAAAGATGCTGGTCCACACGCTCACTCCCTGCCGTAGGAAATCTTTTGTCGCTTGGTCTTGTTGTTGTGTTCATCGTCGTCTTCAGCCGCCTTCTTCTTCTTATTGTCTCCTGGCTTCGCACCGTTTGTGGGTTGGCTCGACTCGCGCGTAGGGAAAGATGAGGTTGGCGCAGGAGCGTGCGATGGGGTTGCTGAACCTGGTGTCGACGATTCCTGGATAGCAGCGTCAGCATACGTTATCCGTCCTCTATTACATACGCTGCGAGAAGGTCTGGTATTCTCCTTCACATACCCTCAAGAAGCTGGTCGAACTCCGGCTGAATATCCTGTCCACATCATTGATTGGGGCCTTTCGCCTTGTCGCAGTTCCTGCTCCGCCCGTGGTCGTCGTAGTCGCTGCGCCCTTGATGTAGTTGTCGAAGCCTTTTATAATGTTGCCGGCGCTCGTCTCTTCTAGGTACTGGGTTTCGACTCGTAGAATGTTGTCTTCGAGTTGTAGCTATCACGAGAGATTAGCACACGCATCTTTTATGCACTGCATCTCATACTAACCAGATTGTTATCGATCAAACGCTTCTTGTTCAGCGACTCGCGGAGGTCACGTCGCAGCCTCTCATAGTAGGGTGTGCCGCGCGAATTGTCTGTGCTTCCATTGTTTGCGCTTCCCGGGGGCGCATTTTCCGTCATTTTTTAATGTCGTAGATTGTAGTGTACGGTCCCGGGCGCCTCTACCAGCTCTTATCGTAATGAATGTCGCGTGTACCAGATCTGCAGTTTGGAAGTTCTACGGTCGCGGTTTCTCTCTGGTGAACGCGGAGGCTAGCGTCACTGAGCTTGGGCCTCTTTGAGGAAACGCAACTTCTAGATCACAACGGGAGACGGCATCGCGCCACGCCTCCTACTCTCCTCCGAATACCCGTTACCAACGTCGCCCGTACGCCCCTTCACTGCGTTCGCTTCCACTAGCCGCGCCTATATCCGGACGCGACCTTGTTGCCCCGCGCCGATCCCAACACACATCCGTCATAACATCAGCCTGATCGCCATCCGCAAGCGCAAGCGCGACAACATCTCGAGTTGTCGTACGAAGAACAGGAGGACTCGACTTTGATTGCGACTCGCCAACGGGTATCGATCCTCTAGCGAAGTCATCTGCGGTTTTGCGCCTATTCCCGGCTTCGCTTCAATAAATCGTAACACCTTCGTCATGGCAATGGATGCGAAAGAGATTGAGCTTCGCGGAAAGGCAATCGGCAAAGCCGTCTCAGAAGGCGAACCCAGCACTTCTATTCTGAAGTTGCTAAACGACCTCAAGACTGGTGTCCATGCCACTGAGGACCTCTTGCGCTCAACAAGGATTGGTGTCACCATCAACCGTCTTCGTACACACAAGGATCCCGCTGTGCAAAAATTGGCAACGGAGCTGGTAGCAAAGTGGAGGGATGAGGTCAAGAAGAAGCAGCCGCCCAAGAAGGACGGCCCAGCCAAAGTAGCTACAAGCAATGGTTCGACATCTTCACCCGCTCCTCCACCATCGGGCACTGCCTCTCCAGCGCCCAGCCAATCCAAGAAGAAGCATGACGTGCCTTCTGATAAGCGCAACCACAAAACAGACAAGGTCAAGTACCAAGTCACTGGAAACGAGGCTCGCGACAACTGCGTGAGGTTGATGTATGACGGTTTAGCTTTTATGAGCGAAGCAAGTAAGTAGAGGTCTTTGTTTGACTCTGGGCTTTTACTAATCCATACCCAAGTGCCCGATGAAATCCTCAATATTGCCAAGCACGTCGAAGCCGCAGCCTATAGCAACGCTGGTAGCGTGAACGATGCCTACAAGGGAAAGATGCGCTCGCTTTTCCAGAACCTCAAAAACAAGTCAAATCCCCAACTCCGCAAACGAGTTCTCACCGGAGAAATAACTGCCAAGAGGTTCGTCGTCATGACGCATGACGAAATGAAGTCGGACGCGCGACGAGCCGAGGACGAGAAGCTTGAGAAGGAGAACATGAACCAGGCCATGGTCGCCCAGGTCGAGAAGGCCATATCAAAGGAGTTCCAGTGTGGAAAATGCAAGCAGAAGAAGGTCAGCTACAGCCAGGCACAAACCAGGTCTGCTGACGAACCTATGACAACTTTTTGCGAGTGCATGAACTGCGGTAACAGGTGGAAGTTCTCTTAAGGGATGCATTACGGCTGAGTGAACACGTTGTGGGCGACGTGTGTGTGGTGTGTACGAGTATGTATGGTTGCCCTTTTTCCCAAAATCGTAGTAGCGGGCGTTTCTACAAAGGGCCAGTTCACAGAGATGCCGTAAGGTAATGGCGAGGCCGCTGCGGGTTCTCGGTTTCTCTGTCCGACATGTCCTGCAAAGTGCAACCAACATGTTTTACCTATTATTACTTTTCTTCCGACATCTCTGGTTGGCATTGATTCGTAAAAAATCGTGCATCCAATCTACAATATTTGAATCGCTCACTTCTCAACGGGGTCCTATAGTCCCTTGCTTTTGCAATCAACCTTTTCGAGCATTGGATTTTGTGCTTATTTGCAAAGCGATTGCTGATTGAATTTGTGTTACCTTCTGCTAGCGGAAGTTTCCTATCTGTCTAGATTGTACGTAGATTGTCGTCACATAGCAAATCATTGGCACATGATAGATTGCTGGGATGTTTCTCTTAAGATTCTCTCTGTTTGACTGACTACCTTCGGTAGATGTCGCCGCCATCTGACCTTCGAACAATCAACCGAGGCAAGCAAACAGTTCGTCAATTGACATTTATAACACTGAGTCCTCTCTGCATCTCTCCCTCACACCATCGATATATACCCACTCTATATATCATATTTTTCTAGCTTACCTGTACACTGCTATGGAACCAAGTCATCACACTCCTTTACACGACCGCCCTTTACCCATCTTCTCCAAATATATCACACGCCAGCCCCACAGAAATTTACGACGTATATCAAATGCCAGTCTACGTCTTAGTACCTCGCGCTTGAAGTCGTCTTGAGCAAACTCAAGCCGCCGAGAGAAAAGATGAAGAGAGGAACTAAGTCCTCCAATCATATTCAACATCGGCGTAGGATCTCGTGTCGGGACGCCCCTAGCCCACAATCGATGACTGCATGTCAAATATATCATTTGTTCTCCGGGAAGGGCTGCATGACGATGAAATCGATCTCAAAGTCTGGGGAAGAGAAAAGAAGACTGTCGAAAAGGAGTTAGATGACCGGGGGGGAGGGGTGGGCCTGATGGAAATCTTCGATGAGACGGCGCAGCCGATTACTCTAAGAGGGCATCTGGTCGGTCTTGGGTATTGGGACACTATAGTAGCATGGTGATCTTACATTTCACTTACGACGTTGCATGGTTTTCTGCTATCACTTTGGGAGGAGACCCACCTTCTCTGGAATTCTTGATCAAAAGCCTGACGCAGGAAGATATTGTGGCGTTCATGTTTAGTAGGCACATGCTATCTCTGGGAAGAGGGCCGTCGACAATATATCAAGATATATTAAACTCCCTTTTTTTCGTATCATGGCAACAATGGGGACGATACTCTCGAAATTCTATGACTAGAGCCAAATTCCTGTTTTCAATCATAATTATTCGAATTCCTGCATGCTTGATGATATCGATTGCAACTTTCTGCCATGCCCGCTATGTGTGTTGTTCGTGACGGAGGATCCCAAGCAAATGACTGCAAAATCTGCTGAAATCGTCTAGCACTCACAGAATATGTATATTTTGTCATCATCGTAGAGCTCCCCGGTAGTTGCTCAGGAATGTACATGGTCATCGGGAAATTTTGATAATGCATCATTAGGTAAGTAGCAATGACTGAAACTTTACATTTGACGTTTTACTACTAATTCTGTGACGGAGCTGACATGTTTGCCCGCAATTCCTGATAGTGTTTGTGCTAGTGGGGCAACTACAATAACTCAAACTCATTATCATTGCTTTTGTTAGACACCACCCGTGCTCTTCTAGGCGTGCTGGTTTTGTGGATATGGCGTCTGTAATCACTCTGGATCCAAGCCTTCGATGAAACATGGGAGTACATCTGTGAGATAGGTAACAGCCAATGCAAACGTATGAACATCAATTGGCTTGTTTAAAAAAGAAGTAAGGTACCATATGTACAACCCGCCCCTGACCTCACTAAGTCTCAAATCTAAGCAAAACGAGAAGATTTTATATTCATTTCGTCTTAACTCGATCAATCTAACAAAACACTACCTGTCGACCTCACCAAATACCAGATCCATAGTACCGATGATAGCAACTGCATCGGCAAGCAGATGGCCTCTTGATATCTGGTCCATGCAGGCCAAGTGTGCGAATCCGGGTGCCCTGATCTTGCACCTGTATGGCCTCTCGCTACCGTCTGAGACGAGGAAGACACCCATTTCTCCCTTGGGTGCCTCAATGGCAGAGTAGGTCTCGCCAGGTGGAACGGTGTAACCCTTGCTGAAGAGCAAGAAGTGGTGAATGAGAGCCTCCATGTTCTCCTTCATGGCGGCACGTGGTGGGGGAGCGATCTTGTAATCCTCAACCTTGACAGGGCCAGCAGGCATCTGGTTCAAGCATTGGTGGATAATACGAAGAGATTGACGGAACTCCTCCATACGGCAGAGGTACCGGTCGTAGCAGTCACCGTTGACACCGACTGGGACATCAAACTCCACCTGGTCATAGGCGTCGTATGGCTGAGACTTTCGGACGTCCCATGGGACACCAGATCCACGAAGCATGACACCGGTGAAGGAGTAGTTGATGGCATCGGCAGCTGAGACGACACCGACACCCTTGGTACGACCGATCCAGATACGGTTGTCCGTTAACATCTCTTCAGTCTCATCAATACGGTCACCAAATTGGGTGGCCCATTGGTAGATGTCATCAAGCAGACCGAGAGGAATATCCTGCGAAACGCCACCGGGGCGAATGTAGGCTGCGTGGAGACGTGCACCCGAGACACGCTCATAGAATTCCTACCATTGTCAGCATATGGACACAATATGACAAGGTTGAACTCAGCATTGACCTACCATGAGTTTCTCACGCTCCTCGAAACCCCACAGGAAAGGCGTCAGTGCACCAACGTCCATGGCGTGGGACAAGACGGACATGAGATGGTTCAGAATGCGCGTGATTTCACCAAACATAGTCCGGATATACTTGGCACGAATGGGAATGTCAATGTTGAGCAGTTTCTCGACAGCCAGCGAGTAACATTGCTCGTTGGTCATCATAGAGACATAGTCGAGACGGTCAAAATAGGGCAGAGCCTGGAGGTACGTCCGGTACTCGATCAGCTTCTCTGTGCCTCTGTGGAGCAGACCAACGTGCGGGTCAGCGCGCACAATCTCCTCGCCATTCAGCTCGAGGATCAAGCGCAACACACCATGGGCAGCGGGATGCTGAGGTCCAAAGTTGACAGTGTAATGACGGATCTTCCTGGTGTCTACGTGATCGTCCTCCTCGGCGCGGGTCTCCTGGGTCTCAGCAGGGGCAACGCCCGCAAAGCTGGAATCGGTGGCAACCAAGCGCGTACGCTGGCTCTCGTCGACCTGGGCATATTGGCGGGGCAGTGAGGTAGACAGGCACCGCGCAATGGGTCGTGAAGGGAATGCGGATCGGACGTGGGAACGGGAGGCGTTCAGGCACGCCCGCTTCGCCGCGGGGCCGGCCAGACGCGCAAAAGAGACGGGCATGGTGATTCTGTCTCTCTCTCTACCGCGATTGTGGAGCCTCAATGGGCATGTAGAGTGGAGAGCGAGGTCGTGGCGTTGGAGGGGAGCTTTCCTCACATCGATGATGCTTCCAGATTGGACCCGCCGCTATTGGCTGTCCGGGCCTTGGCGTGGCCGCCGCTTGCTCGAACTTTTTGTGAAGATGCAACTTGCTACCCACCAAAAACACCGAATCTTGAAAGCAACGCCGCAACAATGTCGAAACCAAGCGCGCAAGAGCTCATGAAGCGTAAGGTATGTATGCGACTCGGAATATTCAAGAAGGTTTATTCTAATGGCATGTACAGACGCTTCAAGTCGGCCCCGAAACTGTCATGAACCAGCAGTCTACCGACTTTCCAGGACACTGGCCGGGAGAGAACCATGAGTGGGATTTGGATTACTTCAAAGAGGTATGTGCAGCGCATTTCCTGTCATTTTGCGTCGCAATTCAACTCACATTTTCTAGAACTTCAACGTCACCTTCCATAGTCATAGTCCCTTCGACACACAATTCTCTCTTACTGGCATTGATACCTCGGTAGCCAACGCCTTTCGCCGCATACTACTATCTGAGATCCCCACGCTTGCCATAGAAGATGTCTTCATCTACCAAAATACGTCCATTATCCAAGACGAGGTACTTGCTCATCGCCTAGGTCTGGTGCCCTTGTGCGGCGACCGCGAGGGCCTGCGTGCGATGAAGTGGTACTCCAAGCCCACTGAAGAAGACCCTGAATCAGGCACACCAACTGACTGGAATACTGTGGTACTGAGACTAGATGTAGAATGCAAATGGCAAGAAGGTGGTCTGCAGAGAGCGGTCGCAGGCGAAACCGATCCCGACAAACTATACATAGGCCACAACGTCTACGCCAAAGATATTGAGTTCAAACCCATAGGCCGCCAAGCAGAACTTTTCTCGTCCGAACAAGGGAAAGAAATACGCTCCACCAACCCAGACATCCTGATTGCGAAAATGAGGCCGGGCCAGAGCATAAACCTCAGCATGCATGCCATCAAGGGTATTGGACAGGACCACGCCAAATTCTCCCCTGTAGCAACAGCTTCCTATCGCCTGATGCCTACAATCGATATTACCAAGCCTATTGTCGGACCTGACGCCAAAAAGTTTGCGCGATGCTTCCCTCGCGGAGTCATTCGCCTTGACACAGTTACTGAGACCGATGTCAAACAACACCCGGAGCTTGAGGGCAAGGAAGGCGAGGCCAAGGCTGTAGTGGCAAACGCTATGAACGACACAGTCAGCAGGGAATGCCTGCGACACCCAGAGTTCAAAGACAAGGTCAGGCTTGGACGGATACGGGATCACTTTATCTTCCGGGTAGAGAGCACGGGCCAATGGGAGAGCGACGAGCTATTCTTGGAAAGTATCAAGTTGCTTAAGATCAAGTGCCAAAGGATCAAGCGCGGACTCGAGGAAATGAACAAATAGACGCGACGAGGCAAATCATGCATTTCCAAAGGCGTTCCAAGGGCATTCAATGGTGGCGGGATTCTTTTCTTTCTTCTTACTTTTTCCATCTCGAAAAAAAAGTTTACGATATCACGGAGTAACTCTCTCTCTCGGCTGGACGACATCCATGCTACGGAGCACACGAGCACCATGTTTTGCATAGATTACTATTGGTTGTATCATACGTTCAACTCGTGCAATCTTTCAAATTTCTTCCTCATACAATCCTCCCAGAATACAAGCTCATGCGTCGGTCATTTACTAGAACAGTGAAAACAGTAAAAACAAAAGCCAGTAGACCAGTAATGGCGGAAAATGGAGAAAACGAACATACAAGATGGTATATAAACAAAAACAAACGAAAAGGCCTACCAAATTGGGGTATACGCTCTTCATCTCCTGCAGCGCTTTGCTGAACATGTCAATAAAAGAAACAGAAAGCGAGCTGTACTGAGCATATCCCCGCAGCATCACTGGATCTCGTCTCGTTGTCTGGCGGCTACTAGAGCTCTGCCAGCGCTTCGTCACACAGCTTGCGTATGCTTTCTGGGTCGAACCTTGGACTCCAAGCCATTTGTTTTCTCTTCCTTCGAACTTCCTCTTTTAGGTGTTGCGGCAGATCGCTAGTTCGAGGAAATTTGCACTGTGACTTTGTCGGTGAAGCCGAAGGATTCGGGAATGTGAATTTGGAATCGTGGATGCCAGTACTCTGTTTCAGTGTGAGCACACTGGTGAGATGACCTTGCAGCATACCAACAAATGTTGATGTGCCGGGTGGGAATTGGACTTTCGCTCTAGGCTCGGGTCGTGTCGGATGCGTTGATAGAGGCGAGAGCATGCTCGAGTTGTCAATACGGCTCGACCGAGGGTTGGAAGTAATCTCGAGGAACGTAGGTGTATTGGTTCGGGGCGGCGAAGGAAAGGAAAACCCCTTGAGCTCAAAATAGACATCTTCTTCTAGGTCGAAGGGGTCGGACATTATGCTTGATGATGAAGTGCGACACGAAGTGCTCAAGTTGGATGATCTTGTCTTTAAACGGTCAAGCCACACGTGCTCTTCCGGGAACGTGGCGGACTCTGGCGTTGAGGGGAGCTCATCGTCCAAAGTCGGGGTTGAGCAAGTGGATGATGGCAATGCCAGGGAGGCAATGGCAGCACGATAATACTCTTCCGCAGCAACAAGCTCATGGTGACGGTTCTTTATTATAGCCTCCCTCGCTAGAGTGTCGTGTGATAGCGCAGTGTAAAAGTTAAGATATGCCAAGTGAACCGGGTGCATCTGTCAATTGTTAGCCCATTCTTGTTGTGATTGAGAGGGAAGGCGCAATGTGTATGTTTACTTACGCTGCTATCCACCTCGCCTAGCAACCGCTCCCCAGACTTTGCGCATCGCGTGTAGTGCCGACTGAGGTACATATCCTTGAGCGCCTGCATCTTCTGCTTCATTTGGAAGTTGTTCGCTTGGCGCACCATTTTTCTCCAATGTGTTTTTTTTAGATTTTTTTTAGCAGTGGTTGTTGGTTGTAGAAGAGGACTCCAGGTCGATGTGGGGAAAGTCGTGGTAAGAGGAGGAGCGGTCGCCGGGATCAGCCCGAGCAGGGGAGGTAAGGAGAGGAACAACAAGTGGAAAGAAGCACAGCTTATGAGTAAAGTGAAGCCGGCTTCGAGGGGGCTGCGGACTTGGTCGAGCCAACGCGGAGAACAACCAGATGAGACAAGGTATTAATCAAACCACCCTATAAAACGAGCAGGAGACGACCGAATGCGTGTTATAACGCTCCTTCTTGTGGGCGGTTGCTATCTCAACGCTTCAGGGTACATGCCTGCTGTCCGAGGAGGATGACAAAAATGGGGCCGCTACCAGAGCATCCTGGAGAACTGTACTCTACGAACCGCAACAAAAGCAGACGGGAACATCTATATAATGCCATGATATGTAACGGTTTCCTGGCCTTGCGCCGGCCCCACTGTTCATGTCACTTGAACAGATGTTGGAAAGGTGCGAGGAGCGGTTGTTTCCAATGATGCAGTCATGTTTCAGCAACCATCTACTTACCTTATCCAGCCTTGAGCTTACCGCACCGGGCCAGGTACCCCACTAGTCTGCCCTGTTCACGCGAGAAAAAGCCTCCGCAACACCCCTCCCCTTCGCCTCGACGAACGCTTTTTCGTTCGCCAAGTGGCCGCAAAAACCGAGACTGGACATGCCAAGTTTAGACATCGCCTAACTAAGACGTTTTACACAGTCGTATGTTTCTGATTCTGGCCGAGGTCGTGTGTTGCGACACATGACTCTTGTTTGCAGCAAGTCTGCGACCATACTGATCAACATAAGTACTTATCCAGAGGACCCGCATTCATATATCATAGTTGGCGTAATAAGCTAGTCGGCACTCACACATGACACAGGTCGGCACAGGGTGAATGCGATAAAGTTTCCGTCAACTTGCTGACACACAAGAGTTGTGGGTAGAGATTTATTCTATACAGCCCAGGGGGAGGTGGAACCATAGTCTCGGGATATCAAGTCCCATGCTACTCCAACGTTTAACCCTCCGAAGCGGCCGCACCAGTAATGATCTCGACAAGTTCGCCAGTAATGACGGCCTGACGTGTTCGGTTGTACAGAATCTGAAACTTGTTAATCATCTCGCCAGCGTTCTTGGAGGCGTTGTCCATGGCGTTTTGACGCGCCGACTGCTCGCAAGCGTGGCCCTCGGCCAGTGCCCAGTAGAGCGAGTTGGCAAGAGCGTACTCGCGGAGGTTGGGGAGAACCTCGTCCTCAATCTCGAAAGCGGAGAAGTTGGCTGCATACAAGGTCAGAGTACGGTCTCTTGTTATGCAACACTTGACATACCGGACTGAGCAATAGCCTCCTCAGAGTAAGCTTCCTGGATGATGGGCTCGTAGCTCGAGGCGTTGATGAACTTGTTGTAGACAATCTTGACGGAGGCGTAGTCGGTGGGCAGCAGAGAAATCTGGTCGGCAATGCACAAAGAGTCGGCAAAGGTAGGCACGTCCTTTCCGGCACCAGCGAAAGAAAGAACCATGTTCTTTCCGTTGGAACGACCCAACTGAGCCTTGCACTTCTCACCAATGACGGCCAAATCCGCATCCGGGGCCTCGGCGAGCATTCTCCTGACCTTTCTCGACATTCCAGAGTGAATACCACCGCAGAGACCCTTGTCTGAGCTGCAGACGATGATGAGGTTCTTCTTGCCCTCACTCTCAATTGGCTTGGTCTCTGCATTCTCGAAAACCTCATTAGAGGTCTGACCGTACTTGCGGGACTCAAACATGGCCTTTTGGGCGCGGGTAAGCTTGGTGGAGGCGACGACCTTCATGGTCTTGGTGATCTTCTCGATGTTGCGGATCGACTTGAGACGGCCCTCAATTTCACGAAGGGTGGCATAGCCGGCGGCATTGGTGGCGGTAAGGGCGGCGGGCCTAGATAGAAAAGTTCCAGTCAGCAATGGATGCAATTGGCGATGCAATTGGCGGTGCAATTGATCCGACAATGGGGGGGTTGCGAGGTGCGAGAAAAGCTGCGAACTCGGACGGGAGCGTACCGGGCGACGGCGGCGGCCATGCCGGCCTTCAGAGCCGGGCGCGCAGCTCGTGACAGCATCATGGCTACGAATTGAGATGAGTGGAGATGGCGACAGCCGTGTGGTGGTGCTCTTCACTGCTGTCTTTGCTGAACGGAAGCTGTGTCGGGCAATCGGGACGCTGAATTGCTTTGCGCGCTAAGACGCCAAGTGTCACGTGATACCATCTACTCCAGAAGACCTGCTTCACGAGCTGTACTCGACTGTTTCACACTGAGAAGCATTCAAATACAGTCAACTGTGCATTCTGCACTACTGCTCTTCTTACACACAGGAGAACAGGACTAAACTCGGCATTGTGGCGCGACACAATTAGCTGGACTTAGCCAGGAACGATTCAACAAACAGGTGGCAAGCATCACCCAAGTCTCATGAGGTGAGTAAATTTCCCAGAAAAAACTTCAGTTGTTTTCCGGCTGTCGTCTGTCGGTCTTGTAGTCGGTATGTAATGCGTTGGCCGATCAGCTCATGACGTCGGGCAATTTGTTGCGAAGAGTTGCTGACCCAGATTTGGTGAAGGCCGAACGACCGTGCGTTGGTGGACTTAGTAGTGAGCACAAGTGGTGGCTCCCTGGGGCTGCGCTTCACTTAAACTCAGCATTCCTCTTTTTCCGTTCATCTGTCACCCACGTCCTGCTACCATTCATCTCACCTCCGCCACCATCGCTTCAATCGTACTGCAAGTCTGCCGCTGTAAGGCACGCGTCCTTCCGCTATTCCTACCCTTGTACAGGGCCGCCTCCACTGCTTCCGCACGGTCGACTCGGTCTGCGCCAAACTTTGCTGCAGTCCCACGATCTGTTTTCTATCGCCGGCAAGTCAAGCACGCGCTGATTGTGGACAACATGTCATCTTCCGGCGACGATACTCCTCTTGTGCGAGGGAACGATCAAGGTGGGTTTGTCTACGATAGTACTTTTTGCACACGCGCTACGGCTATCTCATTCTCACGCGCCGATCGCCCTTGTTGAATTCCACTCTTTTCACCACCCAACCTCACCACTTTCACTCCACCCCCTCCATCGTGTTCGTGACACCCTCGTCTGACGCATTTTTTTCACGTTTTAATAAAAGGCTGGCGAAGGCTAACATCTTTGTCTTACAGTAAAGTCATCAGAGCGCATCACCGACGAGGAAGACAAGAGGATGAACGTGGAAGCGCCTTCCAATGGCCACGTCGAACCCGGCATCTCTATTCGTATGGGACCCATCGATGATAGCAAGATGGATGTCGATGCGCCGGAGACGAATGGCAACGCCAACGGAAAGCGCAAGGCGCGCACGAGCGTAGCGAACGGCAAATCGTACAAGGACGCAAGCAATTCGGAGGACGATGACAAGCCTCTGGTACGTCTCTTTGTGCGGAGTGCACGTACATTTTGTTAAGCTAACTATCCAGCAGAGCAAGCGGCGGCGGACATCACAGCAGGCGAAGCCAGTCAAGGACGATTCCGATTCGGAACTCAGCGACGTGCCTCTCAAGGCTAGGGTACTTCCGAAGGCGAGCGCGGAGCAGATTGGAGAGTCAGCAGACTCTGACGTGCCTCTAGCCACGAAGCTCACTAAGAAAAAAGAGTCGATTGAAAAGGCTGCTGCAAAGGAGGCAAAGGCCATACGCAACAAGGAAAAGGCACCCCCAAAGCGCAAGCAAAAAGCGGAGAGCGATAGCGAGGATGACGTCCCGCTTGCAAAGAAAAAGGCTCCAGCAAAGAAGGCGAATGGTGTCAAGAAAGAGGAGTCTGACTCGGATGCGCCACTCGCCAAGAAGTCCACTTCAAAGACTACCAAGGCAAAGGCTGCCGCCGCGGCACCAGCGAAGGGCAAAGGCAAGGTGAAGAAGGAGACTGAGGAGGATCAGGAGGCTGAAGACGACGAGGATGAGTATCGCTGGTGGGAAGACCCAGGCAAGAGTGACGGCACCAGAAAGTGGGAAACTCTCGAACACTCTGGCGTTGTCTTTCCTCCCGAGTACGAGCCACTGCCCAAGCATGTCAAACTGGTCTACGATGGCGTGCCTGTCACTCTACATAAGGATGCCGAAGAGGTGGCTACTTTCTACGGAAGTATGCTTAACTCGACGCACAACGTAGAAAACCCAACCTTCAACAAGAACTTCTTTGAGGACTTCACTGCCATCCTAGACAAGACCGGACATGGCAAAGACAAGAGTGGAAACACTGTCAAGATCAAGAAGTTTGAGAAGTGCGACTTTAAGCCCATCTTTGAGTGGTTCGATTCTGAGCGCGCGAAAAAGAAGGCTCTCTCGGCGGCAGAGAAGAAGGCGCTCAAGGCTGAGAGGGAGGCTGCGGAGGCCCCGTACATGTACTGCATGTGGGATGGTCGTAAGCAAAAGGTCGGCAACTTCCGCGTCGAACCGCCGGGCCTGTTCCGTGGTCGTGGTGAGCATCCCAAGACTGGTCGTGTCAAGAAGCGTGTCATGCCCGAACAAATCACCATCAACATTGGCGAGAAGGCTAAGGTTCCTGAGCCGCCTGCGGGTCATCGCTGGAAGGAGGTCAAACATGACCACGAAGGTACATGGCTTGCCATGTGGCAAGAAAACATCAATGGTGCCTACAAGTATGTCATGCTTGCCGCCAACTCGGATATCAAGGGTCAAAGTGACTTCAAGAAGTTTGAAAAGGCGCGAGAGCTCAAGAAGCACATTGATCGTATCCGCAAAGATTACCGCAAGGACCTGAATTCCAAGATGATGGCCGATCGGCAACGTGCTACTGCCATTTACCTTATCGATCAGTTCGCTCTTCGTGCTGGTAACGAAAAGGGAGAGGACGAGGCGGATACAGTAGGCTGCTGCTCGCTCAAGTTTCAGCACATCACTCTGAGGCCTCCGGAGACGGTCATTTTCGACTTTCTGGGTAAGGACAGTATTCGGTTCTACGACGAAGTCAAGGTGGATCCGCAGGTCTTCAAGAATTTGAAACTGTTCAAGAAGGAGCCCAAGACGACTGGTGATGACATTTTTGATCGCTTGACGACTTCGGCGCTCAACAAGCATCTGACCAGCTACATGCCTGGTCTCACTGCCAAGGTCTTCCGTACCTATAATGCATCTTACACCATGGCTAGGCTGCTGAAGGAGATGAAGCCTACTGGTAGTATCCAGGAGAAGGTGAAGGCTTATAACGATGCGAACCGTGAAGTTGCTATTCTTTGTAACCACAAGCGTACCGTTGCTGCCAACCACGCCAACTCTATTGAGAAGATGACGGAGAAGGTTAGTTTGTTTTGTGATGTTTGTGAAGGCCATGCTGACAGGGGTAGATTAATGGACTTCGGTATCAAGTGTGGAGAACCAAGATGATGATGATTGACGTTGACCCGAAGATCAAGAAGAAGAAGGGAGCCGAGTTCTTCGAACGGCCTGAGGATCTCGACATGGAGTGGGTCAAGGCGCACCAGGATGCCGAGGTTGAGGAGTTGCGCCAAAAGATCATCAAGAAGTTTGAAAAGGACAACGAAAAGCTCAAGGCCGAGGGCGAGAAGGAGATGAAGCCCAAGGAGCTTGAGGAGCGTCTTGAAAAGGCCGATGAGCTTGCGGCAAAATACAAGAAGGAGAACAAGACGGGCAAGGTCGAGGCCGAGGGCAAGGGCCCGACGATTGAGAAGCTAGAGGGCAACATTGACAAGCTCCATCAGCGCATTGAGAACATGAAGATCCAGATGGAAGACAAGGAGGGCAACAAGGAAGTTGCCCTGGGCACGTCGAAGATTGTAAGTGGCCCGGCTGCATGGGCATCTAGGAAGAGATTGCTAACAGGGGGCAGAACTACATTGACCCACGTCTCACTGTGGTGTTTTCCAAGAAGTTCGATGTGCCGATTGAGCGCTTCTTCTCCAAGACGTTGCGTGAAAAGTTTGACTGGGCCATCAAATCCGTCGACGAGAACTGGGAGTTTTAAGGAAACATGCAGAGGCGTTTTGATTCGTCCATGTGCATTTTTGGTTGGTTGGTTGGTTGGTTGGGGGAGGGCAGCATGGGGGGTTATATACTTACATATAGCATGATGGGTCGGTGGGACAAGGGTGAAAGTGAGAAGGAAGGGTAAAAACAAAAAGCATGGCATCTCTGTCCTGTGCAGGTCGAGTATGCAGGCGGGCGACAAGGTTCAGCGGGCATGGTTTGCGAGTTTATTTCTCATATGATTTAGGCGACTAGTTATTTGCATGGCTACGAACAGGAAATATTGACAGCAGCTATTAGCGTGTATATGCTTGAGCAGAGATGATGTGCTTGTGTATGAAAGGCGTGCATTATGCAAGTGCGGGTCGATCATAACGGGCTGCAGCTTCCGTGCATGAACAGCCGTTCTTGCTGTCGATACCGACGATGCTGCCCAGGCATGAAACCGTGGCATAGGGCAAGTACTCACTTGGAGGGTGTGTGCTGGAGCAAGTGAATCGATTCCAGGGCATGGCGCTTTTTTTTCTTTTTGCAGACTGATTCGATGTACATGCTTACATATATATGTCCATACTATACACATGTACACGTAAGTAGCTGTATGCTTTATGTGCAAACTAGCCGAGGGGCTTGGAGATGGCGTCACCAGCCGTTGGCGGTGGCTCTCAATGCATGGGGGCATGCAATCTGCCACAGTGACTGGTACCTGGGCGGGCCAGAGTCATGGAGGGCTGGATTGGGATGAAGAGGCGCCGTCATAGTGGCCCGCCAAGAGCGGCCGTGGGTTGTGGCGGGCGTGGGCGGGCGTGGGCGGGTGTGTGCTTGTTGATTGTCTCTTCACAGTGCGTGCATGCGTGCAGGTTCCGCGGAGGCAGCTGGTGTTGACCATGCAAGCACGTTCCGACGTTGAACTGTAGGCACGCGCCCCAGACGCCGGAGAAAAAGGCGAAGAGATGCATAACATAGCGGCTCCACAGTGATTTGCTTTTTGGCAGCCCTGGCCTGCCTGGTGCGAACTACCGCTTGCCCAGCCTAACGTCTAAGTAGAGAAGGTGGCCATTGCAAGGCTGCTGGGTGCTGGGTGCTGGGTGCTGCCAGTACGTTTCCCTTGCAAGGCCTGGCCTGGCCTGGTCTGGCAGAAGCCCAACGACTCCAGCTTTCACCAACCGAACTTGCCCCTGAGACGCCTCCCCACTTTGGGCTGTCATGAGACCCAAGGCTTGGTTGCTAGACATATGGTTCAGCACTACGGGAGCGCGCCGGCACGCCCTTCACCGCCCGCCTGACTGCTGTTCATCTCCCGCCGCAACCGCCTCTGCTTGCACGCTCCCACCCTCGACGACCAAGGGCAAACGTCATGCTGTCAAGGCGCCGCGATGTGACGTGACGTACCGAGCAGTACTCGTGAGCCATTCCCGCAGCCCCAGCCAATACAGGTGCCGTTGCAAAACCCGCAGCATCGAGGAACCATGGCAAGCCTAATATCGGGCGGCTGATGGGGCCGGTACCAATCGTTCGCCTGTGTCTCCTGTATGGGTATGTGTATGTATATGTGTGTATATGTGTGTGTTGCGTGCTTGCTTGGGGTCGGCAACCAGTGCCCGACCACGGCGTGAGATCGGGGGAAGGGAGGGAGCAGGCGGGGAGAGAACCATGTCCCAGTTTTTCGATACGAAGAGCCTCCTGGACGGCTTCTGGTACCAAGAGAAATGCTGCTCCCCATTGTCGGCCTGACTGCCTCGTGCTGCAGGTCAATGAGTCGGCTAGATTGGGCCAGGGTTATATGACATCGTCGTGCCGCGGTACCCTACACTTTTGAGCCTCTGTCTCTTGGTGGGAAGCCACTCACTAGCCTTCTCGTCCCAAACCCACGCCCGCCATTGCGAAGACTGCACCACACCCCATCGCCCTGCACTGCACCGCACCGCCCGAGCCCAAGCCCACGCCGGCCCGCTGCCTACCCATACGAGAGCAACCAAAGGACTCGCCCGTGCCTACACACACGCCACCCTTCTCCCTTTGTCAGCCCGTCTCGTGCAACCACACATCTGAGGTCTGAGCGTTGAGCATTGAGCGCGACCCGCAACCCCCGAGTTTGACATTACAAGACACCATCCGCCCACTGCGTCGCCCCAAATTCTCCTAGTGATCTCGTTGCGCATTCTGTCTGCGTAGATCGAACCCTGACGCGACGCCCACCATGGCCTCAGACAAGCCTGCGGTTCTTATAATAGGCGGACTCGGTAACGCTGCCCTCGCTGCCACGCCCACGGCCAGAGATAAGACGCGAGAGGACTAACAAACCTGTGCCAGGCTACACCGGACGACACCTCTGCAAGTACATCTACGACAACAAGCTCGCTTCCGAAATACGCATCGTCGACAAACATCTGCCAGAGTTGGCATGGTTGGCCCCAGAGTTCAAAGAGGCCTGCTCGAGGGAGCGCTTCATCCAGGCGGACGCGGCACAAGAACGTGCGTATCCCTTGCTCACCACCTACACAACTATCCATAACACAGACATACGCACAATCCTCCCGCACCCCCCTTCAAAGTATGCTGACCACAAGGCAATTCGAGACTGACTTCTCACTCCAGGATCCCTACCCCGAATATTCGATCGTGAGGGTGGCGGCGAATTCGACTATGTATTCAACTGCGGTGGCGAGACACGCTTTTCTCAGGAGGAAAAGGTCTACGAACTCCGCTCCTACGGCCTTTCCATGAACATTGGCCGCGAGGCTGCAAAGCGCAAAGTAAAATGCTTTGTTGAACTTAGTACCGGCATGGTCTACAAGCCAGAGAACATACCCCACAAGGAGACTGACAAGACGAAACCATGGTCAAATCTGGCAAAGTGGAAGCTCAAGGGCGAGGAGGACCTGGCCAAGATTGAAGGTTTGAACCTCATGGTTATGCGCATGGCTCACGTCTATGGCCCCTACACAAGCAAGTTTTTCAGCACGGCACTGTGCATGGCGAGAGTATACCAGAGCATGGGCAAGGAGATGCGTTTCCTCTGGAAGGAAGACATGAAGACAAACTTGGTGCATGTCGAGGACGCTACAAGGGCCCTCTGGCATGGTGCGCAGTGGTATGTCAAGGGGCCATCCGCCCGCCGACCGCCGCCCATTTTCAACATTGTGGACCACGGAAATACGTGTACGTTTCATCCCTTGTTGTTTGTGCTCCACATTCTTCTCCTTTACTCACACTGCTTACAGCACAAAAACATACGGCCGAGTTCATGGGGGAGATTTTCAACATCAAGACCGGCTTCCACGGCACCCTTATCTCCGCCTTTGCACGACTAAACCTCGACCACGTTGTCGATGAGGTCAACGAAGAAACACTAGACCCCTGGGCAGAGCTGCAGTCAAAGGCCGGTATTAGCCAATCTACACCACTGACACCTTATATGGAAAAGGAGCTGCTTAAAGACGCGGATCTGTGCATGGATGGTAGCCTGTTCGAGAAGGAAACCGGGTTCAAGTAAGCTACCCCACCCCCACCTTGGCGTAGCTGCCAAACGAGTAAAACCAACAACATACTAACACCACACCACCAGATATAACGTGGAGAAATGCACGAGGGAGAAGGTCGAGGAGGTCATTGAGAGCTACAAGAGAATGGGCTGGTGGCCGTAGCTTGGCTGCTACCTATTCCCTGCGCCCGCTCCCTTTACCATATCACATTCCAACGATACCCTTTCTCTTACCACAACCTTTATTGGCCTTGTCGTAGTCTTCTTCTCTTCTACTATTCTTTTTATTGTTTACCTGCTCCCTCTTTTTCTCTCTCTCGCGACCTAAACCCACTCAAAATGCGTATTCCCCTCCCTGCCCCTTTTTCTCTGCTATAATACCCCCGTCTACAAGGGATCAATCAATAGGTCGATATGTAACTCTCTCCCTCCTCCTCCTCCTCCTCCCCCCTCCTGCACTTGGCTTATACAACCTCGCCATATTTTGTTTTTGAAATACTGGGGGGTACAGAGAACAAGAAAGAGGTTTTTCGTTTGGCAGTGGTAGCGGGCAGACTCGGCATGGCTTGGAGTGCTCATTCTGGCGCGGGCACAGTGAATTGCCCCCGCTCTTGGCAGCTTGTGGTCATCTTCTCCTTCCCTTTTTCTGTCTCTCGGAACCAGTTGGCATGATCTGATAATGGATGTGTATAATGCCTGGCATGGTGCTTAGGGATTGGCGTGTGTATGTGTTTAGGTCGCGTGGAATTGCCTATCGTTGTGCGGTAATGTTTTAGTGGTAATGGGTAGTCAATCAAACGTTCAGGTTACAAGAAGACTAGCCAAAGCCCCACCAAGAAGAACTTGGACCAATATTCAATCAACCCGTCGCCCATCTCCCCAAAACAAAATGAACAATAAAGTTGGCATAGGCATTCAAGACGCAATCAGATTTATTGGGCCATTTCCCCAGCCTAGGGTACTCTACATTGAATGAGTCTGACTAATTGCACATATTGATCTAACATTGGATAAACTTGGCTGCTCGATGCGCTAGGTCGCTTATGCCTTTCCAGAGACGATCCCTACATATTCATTAGCATGTGATACTCGAATTTATCTTTCTGGTTTAAAAAAAACGCACTCTCAACGTCAGTGACGCTCTGGTCAAGAATCTGCTTGAGAGTCTTGGGGTTCTCGAGCTCCTTCTCAATCTTGGCAATGATGGACTCGGCAAGCTCGCGCTGCTGCCTCTGCTTGACCTGGCCCTCGTAGCGGACCCACGAGTCGAGGACAGACTTGGCCTCGGCGGCGATGGCAGTCTTCTGCTCGAGCTCGAAAGCCTGAGCCTCGAGCTGGGCAGTCTCCTGTGAAAATGGTCAGTCTGGTACCCCTCCATCTCCCACACGGAACCTGCGCACCTTGGAAACCTCGAAGAGGGTCTTGGTGACCTCAATGACGCTGCTGAGGTCCTGGACGCTCTCAATGCGCTGCTTGACGGCTGCGGTGTGGTCCTGGCGGGCAGAGTTCAAGATACCCGAGATCTTGTCCAACTGCTGCTGCGCATAGTCGCCCCACGCAGGTCCGGCATACTTGGCAACGGCCCAGAAGATGGTGAGCAGAGAGAGAGCGACAATGGACTCCTCGTTGACGACGTAGAGCTCGTTGCTGATGGCGGCGACAGAGAGACCGGCTCCGGCAGAGAGCACGGCGGCCTTGGTGAGGGGGCTGTTGCCGGGAACGGGTATCGAGTCGAGGAGGGTCTGGGCCTTCTTCTTGGGATCCTCCTGGGGCAGGTTGGAGTTGTAGCGGGCCTGCATGCCCATCGAGGGCAGGGCGCGGAGAGGAAGCGATGGGCGGAGACGGGCGGCGCCTGTTGTGCGTGAGCAATGGGGTCAATGGCATCGCATCTTCATCGGAACGCTGCTACTCACCGACCGCGCTCCTTGCAAGACGTGAGGCCATGGCTGTCTGATGAGGGGGTGCAGTTGGGGGTGCTGGTCGTCGTCGAGAGCTAGCTTTTCGTGATGTTGCGTACCAAACCTGAGCCAAGCACCGACGCCGATGCGCTAACCGAACTTCGCCCGGCCGGGGCCTGACTTTTTGGCATCGACAACTTTTTTGCGCCTGCACATCATTCCACACCACGCGAAGCAGCGAGCTTCAAACGAACATGGCGGGTACAAAATCTACGGCAATGTCTGGGGTCAAGAGAAAAAGGGACACAAGCAAGCCCGAGCGCAGCGAATCCAAGTCCAAGAGCCGGCGCAAGTCCTCCAGTGAAGACGGCGACGACCTACAATCAGAAATCGTACAGCTCGAAGCGCAGATTCTCGAGTCGCGAAAGCACTACAACAACATTGCCACTCTTTTGCAACGAGCCAAGCAATCAGACGCCGAGAATGAGGGCCCAATACTGGCAGCCGTTGCACTATGCCGAGTCTTCTCGCGACTACTTGTAACGGGCGACATGGTGAAGAGCAAGGGCATGAGCGAGGCAGAGGGTGTCATTGTATCATGGCTCAAGGAGCGCTACCGGGAGCTTTGCAACATGCTTCTGGATAACTTCCTCCGTAGCGAGCACCCTCCAAAGCAGTCGGTAGCCTTGACACTGCTGATGCGATTGGTCAAGGAGGAGGCAAAGTCACAGAAAGATTACAAGATCAAAAATGGGCCTTTGCCTCGTCTTATCGAAGTTCTGCTGCAACTCCCCTTGGACGACCTGAACCGTGAGGAGTTTGCGGAGAAGTACATCAAGCAGTTTGACGACATCCGATATCAGACGTTCCAAACTATCAAGTGAGTACATACCTGCCTGAAAGTGGAGACCACTTGCTAACATACTCAGAAAAACACTTGACGAAGACCTGGATATTACCACTCAGCAACTCGTAGCTGCGAACAGCATGTCCCTACTCTCCACCCTCGACCAAGTCCCCAAATCCAAAGCCGAGATCCAGAATTTTTACGTCGAGGTACAAGGAAAGAGCCCGATTCCATCTCTTCAGGCATACAAGGAGAAGGCCCAAGCAGCGTGGTTGGCGACGATGCGCACAGGGCTCTCAAAGGAGCAGCGAAAGACCATCTTGACCACCTTCTCCTACCAAATTGCACCTTGGTTCCAGCAACCCGAAATTCTGTCAGACTTTTTGACCGACTCGTACAACGTAGGCGGCGCCACATCGCTACTTGCACTGTCTGGAATTTACTACCTCATCTCGGAGAAGAACCTCGACTACCCTTCCTTTTACTACAAGCTCTACTCGCTTCTTGACGATGGACTCCTACACTCGAAGCACCGATCACGCTTCTTCCGCCTCCTCGACACCTTCATGTCCTCGTCGCACTTGCCTGCCACTCTGGTCGCAAGCTTCATCAAACGCCTGTCACGCTTGGCCCTCCACGGCCCGCCAGCGGGTATTGTAGTTGTAATACCCTGGGTGTACAACATGTTCAAACGCCATCCTGCGTGTACATTCATGATGCACCGTGAGATCCGGGATCCGGAACTCAAGGATGAGGTAGAAGAAGAGGGCATGGATGACCCGTTTGATATGGATGAAGCGGACCCTTTTCTGACCAATGCTATCGAGAGCAGCGTCTGGGAGCTGGTAGCTCTGCAATCGCATTACCACCCCAATGTTGCTACACTGGCTAAGATTATCTCTGAGCAATTTACAAAACGATCATATAACCTAGAAGACTTTTTGGATCATTCCTACACTGCAGTAAGTCTGAACAATCTTGTATTTTTTTTTGTGGTATACTCGATACTGACAGCCCTTGCAGCTACTCGACGTTGAACTAGACCGCGATCTCAAGAAGGAGCCAGAAGTCGAATTCGAGATACCAAAGCGTATTTTGACGGCAGAGGAGGGGCTTAACCCTCTGGGTCAGCTTCTTACACATGTCATTGAGGCGAGGTAATGGAAAGGCTATACGAGTTAGTCTAGCAGGAGAAGAATGATACCCTCTGTTTGCCAGGCCGTTGTTTCTTGCGTGACATGTCTTCCGAATGATTGGATGTTGCTTATCGCTTGTCTCTCTTCCTCTGCCTACAAATGACATGCAGCGGACACGGTATTGTCAGACAATTATCCGACCCCTGCAGTGCAGATATTACTTGTTGGGTACATGCTAGTCGCCATTCATGACGAAAAGATGTCGGCTACCGTAGCCGCACATGCTTTGGCGTCAGGTACCAAAGAGAAAGGGCCAGACCCATAGCCAGCCTCGGCAATTGCGAGTAATGACAGACACTGCCACTCTTATGTAGCACTTGTTGAGAGGGAACGGCGCATGCACATAGAGTTTGCGCATAATGTTCCACGCCCCAAGATGTGTTTGAAACGTGGGCGTGAGCAAAACGCCAAGGACCATGCTAGTACAGTGGCGAAAAGGGGTGGGGGGGGGGAAAGAGAGAAAAGAACAAAAAAGATACAGATGTCCTTTTGTCCAATGTCCAACCCAAATATCCACATACACACGCACACACACACACACATACAATGAAAAGATACTGTATCGCAACATACCTATCGACAAGACAATATTCCCCCAACATCAGCATCAAAATCTCCATCTCATCCGCTAAAAAAAAATACCCCAAAGTTTATTTCCACCACCCACGTTTCGTTGAGCTGCATCCCATCCCCTCTTTCCCGCACCATGACACCCAAAAAAGCAAAAATCTATATTCGAAGAAGAAAAGAATACATATATATATAAAGGTGAAAAGAAAAAGAAAGATAAGAGAAAGAAAGAGGTCCGAGAGTAGCCAGGCACACAATGCATCAAGGTTACATACCCGCTGGTTCACGTCAAAGCAAGCTAGTGGGAAGCCGTGGCGTGCACCTGGCGTCAGGCTTCCGCATGCGGGCATAGCGCCAAGTGGTACTAGGACCAAGGGGCCCCCCTCTCCCCATGGTTCGGGGCTACCCGCTGCGTATCTCACTCGAATCGAGGGGGCCAGGCTTTTTGGGGGAAGGGGAAAGGGAAAGGGAGTAAGCGATTACGAGAAGATGGGGTCGGGTGGGGATGAGGGTACGTTGGGTGATGATGAGTTGCACTGTGGTGGTTATGGGCCGAACAGTTGGGTGCGGTTGGGTCATGTTGATTTGGGTGCAGGAGAGGGCAGTAGCCAAGACCGCGGATTGTCCTTTCGTGCAGATCACGTGAGCTGGGATCTTCAGGCACACCACTCACTAGCGAAAGGATTGGTACCGGAGAACGCCTTGCATGTGTAGGATCCGTCAACCTCCAGGCTGCGAGGATGAAGACAGTTTCGCTGATATCTGGAAAAAGCGGCGATGCTAAGTTGAAGCCATGATGTTTGTCACACGCTCAAGTCCTTTGCCACTTGCTATAAGCAAACATCACAATGCAGTGGAAGACAGTCATCTCATCACAATCACAACCGCATATTGAAGCATTATAGATCAGGTACAACCTTTCGGCTGCCCCTGACATGTTGTATTGGTGATTAACCAGGTATAAACATGAACTGAACAATGTGTTCGGTATCCCTTTGGGACATATCGCATTAAGTCGGATTCGTAATGCCAATCCTGAACCTTCTCCAAGTGGAGGCCCTGTCGTCTCAAAAATTAAACCCAATCATGGCAATAATGCTCTCCAAAAAAGACTTGTTACTCCGTGATTGGCCTCTAAACAAAACAATTGCTGATGTACGATGAAAGCAAAAAAAGGTCACGCAGACCTCCACAACCAAGGCTAAGACAGCTACCGACAATGCATGGCAAGGTCGTGGTTGTGATCGCAAAGACTCGATGCCTTACGGCCACGACTGCTGTCAGATTGCTTGCAGCTGTGTCAGTGTTTGTGGAGACAGTGTGGTCGTCTCATGATGCGCTTAAGCGAAGACGGCAGCACCGATGGCGAGGACAAGGCCACCGAAGGAGACCATGTTGCCGGCGGCGGCACCGCTAGCTTGGGGAACGCTGGCGCTTGAGGTAGGGCTGCTGGAGGCGCCGGTGGAGCCAGCAGGGGAAGATCCGCTGGCGCTAGCACTGGGGCCGCTTGACTGAGCACCGCTGCCAGAGGGAGCGGGGACAGTGGAGTTGGAGCCACCGGGAGGAATGATAATGGGGGTGGTGCCAGGGGTGCCAGGAGCGACGGGAGTGGCAGTGGCAGATGGGAGAGGGACGGGGCCGGTGCCTTGTAGTAGTCAGCAGGCTGTACTTGATCGAGCAGTTGTAGTAGCGCAAACTTACCGACAGGGACCTCCGAGGGAGATGGGACCTGGGCAGAGGGAGAGGGGACGCCAGAAGGAACAGCAGATGGGACAACCGAAGGAACGCCCGAGGGGACGGCAGAGGGCGCAGAGACGGCAGGGGGAGTGGCAGGAGGAGCCTGGATCTGACCGTCGGAAATCTGGCTGATTGGGAGGACGTCGTACTGAGGAGCAGCGGCGACGGCACCGGCCAAGAAAGCGACGGAGATGGTGGAGAAACGCATGGTGATTATGAGTTAGTTGGCGAGGGTGGTTGTATTAGATGTATAGAGTAGAGGCTGTAATGGAGATAGCGACTGGATGATCGACTCGAGGGATCTGAATGCGATGGAAGGCAATTGATGATGATGGAGTGGATGGAGAGTAGGAAAGGAGGAGGTGTGGGAGGCACAAAGGCACATCTATTTATTTGCTCGAGGCGTAGGTTGCGCCTGCCTGGGCTGGGTGTCGCAATGGACGGCCCACAGCAGGACGGGGGGCCGTGCGCCTGCCTGGGTGAGGGCAGGAGCGAGGGAAGGCGGGGCCCGTGTGTTTGGACGCCACGCCACGCCCGCCCCAACACTGGATGAGAGGGCGGCCGGCGCGCACGGACGCGGGCCCAAGGCTCGATTGGCAGATGGACAAGCATTGTTCCAAGAATTGATGCTGCTCTGTTCCTTGGACCGTTGGGCAAGCCTAGTCGGCGGCTGGGTCGTGGCTGGAGTCGCGCCGAATGCCTTCTTTTTGCACCTCGCAACCCCGGCTGCCATTGGACCGCGAAACTCTGCGACAACGCAGGTGGTGGGAAAAGACCAACGGCGGCCCAGCATGCTCCTACCAGCTGCCCAGCTCCCACCAGCTCCCAGCCTCTCTGCACCTCCGCCAGGCACAAGGCCATCAATGAGAAACACCATGAGAACCAGTCAAAAAAAAGAGGCGTCGGAGGACGCCCGTCGCCAGTGCCACGCAATACCTCTCTCCACTATCGCCTCGCTTGGTGCTGCTTATCGCGCCGCCAGCAAACGCCCTCCCGCCCGCCGAGCAGCGGTGCCACTACTAACACCATGCAGCAAGTGCAAGGCACGCAGACCCAGTGTCCCAGGGGCAGCGCCGCTATTTTTTTTTTCTCTGTCTCCTCGCTCGATGATCGTTGCCCTGGCTGCGCACCGCCTCGCTCTTCCACAGGGTTGGCGGTGGAGCAGCCTTGTGTTTGCATGACTGTTGTTGCAATCCCGCCTGGCTGTGTTTCGCGTCCTCCGTCATTCGTCTTGCTAACTTTAGCAACGCTGCCACTCTGCCACGCTGCCACGCCCGTCAATGGCCCATCAGCGACCCATCACTGGCCCATCACCAGCAACCACTTGGTTTTTGCCCTCGGGACTCGTCATGGGCCCGTGACGTGCGACGCGTGTCCCCTTACGCTGCACACCACGCTCACCAGCCTCACCGCGAGACATCGTTTTGTTTCCCCTGGCTCAATAATCGTCTTTCGCTCCGACGCCCTCTGCTTGTCATATGCCGATCCCCAACAATGCACTACCACCCAAATCATACCTTGCCCGTCCTCCTGCTCTCTCTCCCCCCCCTTGGCCTGCCGCAAGCCGCGCATATCACGCCCATTAATTCCTCAGGCGCGCAATCTATCGAAACAAAATATCTTGCAATCTGTACCTACATTGGGGCAAAGCGGCTAAATCCAAGCTACCTGCCCCCGGCTGTCACACCACGTCTCCGGACTTGCAGGCGGTCAACCCCATACCGCTAATCTCGCTTCGCAGCACATCGCCTGCTTGCGATAACGAGGTGATTGTGACGTCGTCTGCCTCTTCTCCGATTCTCGACGAAATTGCACAATGCTTGGCTTTTTTTTCTCCCCTGGATCCCTGCTTCCCGTCTCCATCTAGAGTACGCGTTGATTGCGCGGCGAGCGATAGCACGTTGAACCATAAAGATGGTTGTTAACATCAAAAAGACTATCCCTTATTACCTGGACTTCATCTCCCCCAATGCGAACCCCAATGAAACACAAACACAAAAAAAAAGAATTGTGTCTAGACCCTTTGCACGACCCTCACTATGCTTTCCAGAGCAAACTTTGTGCCCCTTGCACTTGTACCACAGTTCCTACCCGCCTTTCCCCATAATCCGCGCGCAGGAGACAAAACAAAAAAACTCTAATTTCCCTCATGTCTCCTAACACCAAAATCGCTCTAGAATCCATTGGAATATTCTTGTTGTCTCTCCCACAGATTCCCGTCTTACGAAATCAAACTGCCACTAGCATTTCTCGTATTGCGGCTCCTTCCCATCGCTCGCGCCAGCACCAACGCGCCCGTGCCCTCGGATCGCACACGATAGCGATTAGAGAGAAGAGGACATGGAGAGCAAAGGCACCTAGACGCCCTTCCCAACCCCCCCCCCTCCTCCTTGTCCACCGCCCACATTCTTGGCTTGCACCTCGACTCAAACCGTCACTGCGCAACGCACGCCCGAGCCATACAAACAATGCGCAGATCGTGGAGAAGAAGCGCAAGACCGCGAGTCGCGGAGAGGGCAGCAACAGAGGGGGAAAAAAATCTTCAAAGTTAGCATTGGTAATTGCCACAACTCATGCCTTCTTCTTCACCGCTCACCCAAAGTACCGGTTTTTTTCTTGTTGTTGTTGTTGTTGTTGTTGTTGTTATTGTTGTTGTTGTTGTTATTGTTGTTGTTTGGTGCTCGCCCGTTGCAAAGCGGCAGGTGCAGTGCGCAGGTGCAGTGCGCAGGTGCAGTACGCAGGTGCAGTACGCAGGTGCCCATGGCTTTTTCCTTTGCCCTGCTGCTGAGACTGGGTAAAGTAAGTAGTGCAACCAACCAACCAACCCTTCGTACGCGCGCGCACCCGTTTTGGCTATTACTTTAATGGTATACCTGTGTTTTGCGGTACCCGTCCGCTGGTGCTTATCCTGTTTGCCCGCAGCAATCATGCATACTGGATCCATCGTAGATGCATAAAAGTTGCATAAGGCTAAGGTAATTGCTATGTTACTTACGGGGGGGTTTCCCGCGCACACGTGGAGAAGTGCCTGATGGAGACAAGAGCCGTTGGTTTATTTTATTTTTTCTTCTACGGTACTACCACCGTACCTCTGCATCATTTGCATTCATCTCGTCATTACCTTTTGCAAATGGCTAAATGACCATGACCAAGTCGTTGGACCCTGAGGTTTTCTACCAATACATTCCATATGGATGGATGGATGGATGGATGTACTCTGCAACACTATCGATTCAACGTCTTTCTCCTACCAAACAACCATGCATGGGCATTCTTCGTCATCACAGCGTCTCATATGGGGATAGCATTATTCATTAACTTTCTTGCTTTATTGAATCTGCCAATCCGTCTGTCTCATCTGCGCTCTAACGCAAATTCCAAATTCCCAAACGCCGCTGTAATGCTGGAGGGAGAAAAGAAGAAAAATAAACCCGCTAAGACTACTATAACTACACTTTTTTTTTGCTCAATACAAACATGTTCCCCTGTATCTTCATGAACATAGAGCATTTCTCATAGCTAAGCCTTCTTTTCGTTCGTAATCTCATCTCCAGAGGAGTTCTCAGACACGGCCTTGGGCGCCATCATGGGCTCGGGTCCGGTAGGAGTACCAGGTGTTGTACGCTTGAAGTAGTTGTGCACATCGGCATGGTCGTCCTCGTCTGCCTCGACACCTTCCCATCCGTTCTTCTCAGAGAACTTGTGCTGCTGGCGCTCCACCCAGTCAGCGCGCATCTCGTCAATCTTCTGCTCATAGTCGAGCTTGGCATCGTATCCCTTGTGCTGTCCACGGAAACGCTCCCACCATGAAAGGTGCTTCCAGTGAATGGCAATACCGTGGTACTCGTTCTCTCGGCCAGCTCGAATATATGCCCACCGACGCTCTTGCTCCTTGAGATCCAGGCCGGTAGTGTCGGGAAGAAAGAGCAGAGTGAGAAGAGCACCAGCAAGACCGAACCAGGGGACAAAGTAGAACTTGGTCTGGATGTCAATGTAGTTGTAGAGGATGGCGGCGAGAAGTGCACCGAGCTTGCCCCATGCCGCACTGAATCCGTGAGCAGTAGCGCGAACTGGTGTGGGGAAAACCTCGGCAGCCACAAGGAAAGTAACACTGTTGGGTCCGAATTGGTTGAAGAAGGAGGAGAGGAAGTACATGGCCTGGAAACCGTGAATGTTCTCAATCGAAGTGAAGTACTTCAGGGCAAATCCGGGAACCATGAAGAGGACAAAGTCGGCCATGAAACCGACAATCATCATCCACTTGCGACCGTAGAGCTTGTTGTCAATGAGAATAGACGCGAGATAGTATCCGCAAAGTGATACGCCGACGTTGATAAGGTTGTATAGCCAATCAGTCATGACCGACTTGTTGCCAGGTGTGAGGATGCTGATAAATTCGTTCTGGAAAAGCTTGTTGCCGTAGAAGAAGACATCGTTGGCGAACCAAGCACCGGCAGTAGCCAGGAGACGGGGGCCAAAGTAGGTGAAGGTGAGCTTCAGCGACTGGACGTCGTATCCAGTGACATTGGATTTCTTCTTAGAAAGCATCAATTGCTTCGAAGCCGACTTCATCTTGTAGTAACGGAAGTAGACAAGCCACAGCGTTCCAACGGCAGGAATAGCAAACGAGACGCGGTAAGTCCATTGCGCCAAAGTCTTGGAGTAAGGCGGCGACGATCCACCGTGGAAGATGAGGAGCAGGATAATGAGAATGACCTGGTTGAAGAACTGACCCCAACCCTGCATCAAAAAGGCACTGGTGACTTTTCGTCCGCGGTGAAGACGGTCGTCCTTGGTCGAAACCTTTCCAGAGCCGACAGCATTCTCCATACCGGCAGTTGCAGTCATGGGGTATTCGCCTCCGACACCAATGCCATAGAAGAAGAGAGCCCATACGTAGCAGATGACCCAGCCGTTCTGAGTAACACCCCAGGCAGCAGTAAGCATCAAAAGACCGACGAACATGATGGTGGCATCCTGAATGAGACCAAACCGACGGCCAAGCCAGTCACCAACGATACCAACGAGGATCTGACCGACAATGATACCGCAAATCTCGAGGTAGTCGACAGCCTGTGTCCATGTCTTGTCACAAATTTCGTGGGTGCCCCAGCAGTCGGGGAAAGCAGCCTTGAGTAGAGGGCGAACATTGCCAATGGAGAAGAGGACGTAACTAGTAGAATGGTTAGAACATGTCGCTGGATGGATGTAATATCGTGCATGGACAACTTACCCTTCCAAACCAAGACCGGCACCAGGGATCACGCAAGTGCGGAAGTAATGGCCAATTGGAGCAAGAGGGTCGTTCTTGAACATGTTCCAGAAGTAGCTGGCTTCGGCCTTTGCTTCCTGTGCATCGACTTGTCCAACAAACCTGACCCGTTGGCCAATGGGCAAGTCGGCCCAGTAGGTTCCTTCGGCAGTGTAGAGATCATCGGGGTGAAGCAAGGCGTGGAAGACACTAGCCTCGTTCTCGCTCATGTCCTTTCGAATGTCGATATCTTGAGTGGCTTGATGTTCACCCGTCATGTTGGGTCCGTGGGGGGCAGCGACGCCATAGTCCCGGAGGGATTCTGCCGCAGAGGCCATGGTAGTAATGGAGCAACGAGTTGATGGGAGAAACTCGTTGTTTGCTGCTTTTTGTGGTGATCAAAAACAATGCGGTCTAAAAGCACAGGCCGTGGTCGGTGCCTTTATACGATGGGATGGCGATTCAACCCACGGATCGACCCTTGAAGGATTGGCAAATTTTGCTGGATCCCACTCGACTAGTTCCACGAAGCAGTTGAGACACTACCACGTTGCGGAGAACTGCCTCTGAGTGGTGGGTGGGGATCTGCAAAGACTGGCCCTGGTTGTAGTAGTAATACCGGACGTCCCGATGCTGGAACGACTAGCTATATCCCCGAACGGCGGCGTCGGCAGATTGCTGGCGTGTTGTCGTCGGCGGTGATGGCGCGCTATCCAATACTGAAGATTGGCGTGGCGGCCAGATAGCTAGTTTGGGTAGCTATGGGATGTTTTGAAAAAGATGCTCGCGGGCGTGGACGAGGCAGAGACAAGAGGGCAGGAACGCGCAATATGTGCGCGAACGCGATAAAGCAAAGCTGCACATGATTGCAGGAGCCCAAAGTAGGGCTTATAAAGGGTCGAGTAGGCGAAGAAAATTCTAATGTTAATACCGTCGCTTCCAATGAAGGCTAGTCGAAGGCGAGAATGCTACGATTCTGCAGACCCACCAGGTCCGGAAGGACCTCACGCGACAGTCAATCCCCGTCCTTTTTCCGCAGACAGACGGCTGCCATTGGACCGTCGAGCAAAGCAAAATATGGAGCGAATGCATGCCCGCAGCCGTGTGCCCCATTTCTCAATATCTGCGCCCTGGGAGGTCCCTGTGTGTTGTGCACATCCCCAGATCTGAATGCTACTGCTACCGCAGTGTTTGCGGGTTTGGGACCGGCCAGTGATGACGTCGAGCGACAAGCCTCCGGGGTGGCTGTTGACAAGCACACCAAGCAAATAATCGAGTGCATGGCATTCCCAGCCCTGCCAGACGTCTTGCGCCGCTGACGTGCACTGGTCATGTCGTCGTTGTGCTGGGCAGTCGAGGCAGCGGACATGTTGTGAAGAATGGGAGATGCAAAACAGCCAATCACAGGCAGCATACAGAGCGCGTGTTGAGTTCAATGGTCGTGGGGAAGTCCGAGGCTCTTCGCCAAGGTAGGGCCCGTGCAGGGTTGCTTAGTGCTCCTACCACACTTCGTATCCACCCTTGTCCTCCCACTCCTCCCGCCTATGCCTACTCCAGCATCTTTGCGCCGCCGCTGTCGTTGCAGCCATCAACTCCAGTAACGGCGCAGTGTGACATCGTCCCACCTGCTTCCGGTGTCTTGGTACCAAGCCCACGAATCCTTCAACCTATCGTACACATACATACAGATATACATACTTCCTACGTAGTATGTATGTATATTCAAACGGCATCTGCCACATGGTACTGTAGGTGTAGCAAGACATCTGCTTCCTCCGGTATCAAGTCAGAGTGAGGACATTTCCCTTTGCCACAACCCTAAGTGGATGCTCTCAGGGTCTCGAAAATTGGCCACTGTTCCACTGTTCCACTGAACCCATGGACGGCGTTTGAATTTTATCCCCTTGGACTATTGCACCCTGGGTTCGGGTCACGGTAACTACGGGCGGTACATGGATTGTCTCCTCCGCCCCATGAAAAATGGTCCAGCCACTGTGGAGCAATTGTATCCTGAGCGGGTCCTGGCATGTCACTCGAGTGCTCTCGCGCGACAGTCACGATTCATTCCCACTTCGAAACGAGGTCTATAATATTGCATTTTTGATACTGATCGGTATTAAGGGTGTATCTAGAACCAGGCGGTCTTCGAAGCCGCGTCACATCTAGTGGTTGAGTATTAATAATTTGCTTGTACATGTTCCTGACATGCTGCTGATGGAAACGTCATGAAGATGACCAAGACAATGAGAGTTATGTGTCAAGACGGAAACATCCGTCCGAGAAGGCAGAAAACGAGGCCCAACGCTATGCAAAACTCCAAATGAAACAGGAAATTATTTCGACACGAGAAAACAGGAGGGAAAATTGTAGGCTTTGCGGGGCTTAGTTGAGCCAGTTCTGCCATTGGCAACGACAACCGCCAGTGCCACCGTCAATGGGCCCACTGACTGTCCCTTGCCCCTGCGTGCCCTTGACCAGAGTGCCTCCGAATGCTCGATCTTCAAACTGGAATGTCTTTTTGGACTCTTCGTTCTTGATCGTGCCGTCATCCTCCATTTCATAGCAGTAGAGGTTTTTCTTGGCAGGATCTCCACCGTGGCGATCAATGGTGACGGTGACTGGATACGGGAAGGTGCCTGGTCTCTTAAATGCATCTGTACTCCCAGAAGCAGACTTTTGTAACAATGGCTTGCTCTCTTTGCTGCGAGTCCATATCTGTACCAGGAACCGCGTCTGTGAGTATGTGCATCTCAGCTTAGCAGCATCCTTGGAGCTCCCTCCATCCGTGTCTGCAGGGTTTCCACCACGATTGGTGCCATTGATCTGCTTCAGGAAGATTGATCGATCAAAGTAGGTGTAGAATCCGTAATGCTCGTCTTCTTTACCCCGATTGTACAGTCGCAGGGGCTGTGCAGAAGGCGAGGGAAGCAGGTTTGCAGGCGCTGCAGTCCCGTCAGAAGCCAACATTGGCGGAGGTATCACAGCAGTGATGTTTGTAGGGTCGTTTGCATTGGCACGCTTCACCAGATCCGATGCATTGGCCGACGGGTCGCTCATGGTGATGAACAAGCCAGTCTCTTCGCCTTCAAAAGGAGCAGAGTTGCCATCTGTCGTCTTACCCAAGAAGTTCATATCGTTAGTTGATGGAGGTGCAGGGGATGGCGAGGGTGTAGCGCGAGTGCGAAGCAATGACCGGACCAAAGCGCCGGCTGACACTGGGTTTGAGGCCCTTTTGGCACGTCGAGACTGTGGCAACTCTGCGGCACTACCGTTCTCAAACGTGATTTCAATCTTGAAGTTGGGCTGGTCCGGTTTGTTCGGCGCAACAGATTGCTGGAGTTCTTTCGGCAGCGCACAGCTCCACAGTGTGGTAGGCGCGACACAACCACTCTCCTCCTCTACCACTTCAGGTTGCGCAATAGTTAGCAGGCCCGTAGGCACAGGAGGGTAGTCTGGTAGATTAAGCCATTGGTTGCCGCCGTCGGGCTTCGGCTCGGTCGCGGTGGGCTTATTGTCATTGCCTTTCCTTGTCAATACCACGGCAACTGGGATAACGATTGCCAACAGGATGAAGAATATCAAACAACAGCAGCATCCCCAGAAGCATACTCCTCTCTTCTTTTTCTTCTCTTGACCTCCGTCTTGAGGGTTTTGGCTTCGCTTCTTTCCAAACGGCCATATGCTTGTCATATCACACACCTTTCGATGTTTCTTCTGTCCCTTAAGGTCTGGAGAAGATGCTCGGGAACCAGAACGACTGCCGTTGTCATAGCTCCAATGTGAGCCTTTTTGAGCCGCCTTTGGAGGTGGAGCGAACACTGGTAGGCTTTGTGAGGAACCGTTGGCGTTTGTGGTAGAAGAGGTTGTGATCATGACTTGTGGTGCTGCTACTGACGTGTGCATTTGTTGTACAGCGGGCGGATAGTTTGCTCTGACTGGCTGGTTCTCCATTAGCGGCCGCCTATCTTGCAGCTCAATGTTGACATTAATGTGGCGTGGCTCCTCAACCTGACGAGGCATCAAGACCGTTCCAATGGCCGCTGTACCCACTACTGGTGAGGCAGACATTGCAGATAGAGGGGAGGCGACGGTGCGGTGGGAATCTGGAGGTGTTTGATGGTCCATCGCCTTTTCAGGATCAGACTTCACTGGGACATTGGCTACTGAAGCTGCCGACGTATTGGTTTGCGAGGGGGGTGGCGTGGAGGCTTCTGCTTTACTCATGCCATACTGGATGGGTACAGTTGGGACATCTGGCGTACTATTCCCATACCGTCCAGCATCTGGCCATGTTGACGATTTAGGCGTCGCAACAAATGGAGTTGTGATGACGGTCCACCATCCTTGCGACCCTCGAGGAATAGGTACCATTGATGTGTCAATGGCCAACGAGTTTTCGGCAGCCCTGGCACTTAGTGGCGTTTCATCCTCCTCAAAGACGGTGCTGGTGGACATGACGCGATCTTTCCGTTTGGAATCGTCATCCTCTTCGAACGCAGTTCCAGCGGAATCCAGTGTGTCATTTCGAGCGTGGCCAGACGAGCCGCGCATGTCATTGTTGGAAACTTCTCCTGGATGTTGAGCCATTCCAGCAGGTAGAGCGGGGACCGGTGGGACGTTGGATCTGTCGAAAGCTGTTTGGTAGCGAGAATAGATACTAGGTGTATAGTCCGACTCTGTGAAGGGTGTGTCGGGTGACCAAGCCGATTTCACTTCCGCAGGGGTAATGATGATACTTGGTGTTACCAGAGTAGTGTCACTCCCAGCACGCGGCCGATTTGCTTGTAGGGAGCTAAAGTCGGATATACTGTCGGTAGGAACTGAGATTCCTATTGGAATCCGTCGGTCCCAAGGTGAAATTTCTTGCCAGGACTTGGTGCTAGGAGTCATGGACGTAGCAGTGTCGATTTCGTTCCGATCTACGCTCTGCCTCTTCCGATGCATGTGTTCTGGTTGTGGTGTACCCTTGGTGATTCCCAGACCTTTGTGTCTGGTTGAATTCCTGCTCAGGCCAAACCACGGTGACTTGCGGACAGAGCCGCTGCCTCTCTCCGATTCTTGTGGAAACACCTGGTGCGGTTCCGAGCCCCTGTGCCTGGTGAAACTTGTGTCGACAGTGATGCCCGGCTTGCTCGGTCGACCTAGTAGATCTCTCCGTCGAGATTTCTGTCGTGAAGCACGCCCTGGAAAGGACCGTGAGCTCCGCTTTGTGATCATCCGCTGTGCTCTAGCATTAGATTCAATGTCCCAGGTCTGTTGCTCAGGTGTTGCATTTCCATCAAATCCATCATGAAAATGTACTAATATCTGTTCCTCCCCATCGGCTCGGTTTAGGTATGAGTCGCCTGCGTATTGTTCGCTTTCAAACGGGCGCCTAGCATTATCGGTTGATCGAGGTAGGGGCCTTAGTGGCGGCTGGCCATATGAAGTCATGTTTGAGTTGTGTGTCGGTATCTTGAATCGATGTGGGAAGCCAAATCCCAAAGAGATAGTAGGTGTGAATGGTTGTCAACGAAAGCTTTTTCAAACGGGAACTGGGGTGATTAGTGGCGTTGGTATTGTCGCTGCTATTGTCTGGCGACAGCGACTGCAGAACAACGAAAACGAATGAAATCACACAAAGCGGCGACGGGCGATGAAAAGAAAGCGGCAAAGAGGCAACGGAGAACGTGAAAGCACGCAGAAAAAGGAGATGTGTGAGGCTGTCATACAGACACGCGACCCCAGATCTTTTGGCCGACTTTAACGGACCTGGCAAACCACTGCCATGGCTTAATATGTATAGCTCTTCAACTTGGATGGCCCTTCTGGCCTATGATGTGGCAGAAGCGCCCGCCACGTCTCCCTGAGTCAAAGCTCGTCGGTGGGAGTAGGCATTGTCCACAGGCACCGAGTGAAGGTGATTGGAGCCGTCAGGTGGAGCTGCTTCATAACGAGCGCCATGTTTGCGGGCTTGAGGCTCCGTAGCCGCCCTGGATTCGCTGGGGTGGAAATGTACAACTCTATGCGAGATCTGAGACGCTCCAGATGTGTAGCTTGGACGTCGTGTCCAGCAAAATATGGAGAAGAGCCAGTCAGACGACAGGACATGGTAATGGAAGCGCCAGGCCAGCCATGACAGCGCCCAACGGTTGGTGAGGAAGGCGCCGCCAAGACAGGCTAGTTTACAGTGCTGTCCAGGGCCCGTCTGTATGCGCCCGACCAGGAAGGGTTTTGGTGTGCACGGCTTGCTCGCTACAAAGTCGGATGGAGCCTGCCATGCTTTTTTTCTCAACAGCATGCTGATGGCAGTAGAACATACGCAAATGGCGATATTGCGTGCTTGATCCGGATCGGATGCCCGCTCGCTGGGTTCTGCCTGGCTGGACTTGGTGAAGCCACCTGTTCACGAGCCGCTTACATGCCTAGTCCACATATGAATGTCCTCCTGTCGGACGGACATATCAGTTCGTCCCTGTGGCGCACCATGCCCATGCACCCACGAGCTAAGTACGCGGGAAATGTTCCGAGTCACGTGCCGGCTTCGACAAGGCGTCTGGCACTCGGAATGCGCTGTCAAAGTGCAGACAGCAGTTCTGCGACGCGCTATGAGCCTGTAGGAAACCCAAATCTCACTTCCTGGGACCGAAGAAAACGTCCTGCGGCTTATGACGGCCCATGTCGCAATGCCCGTATGCCGATTGACCGTCCCCTGCAACCATCCAAATCTGTATGTACCGATATACTAACGTATAATTATCGCTGTGCCGCACCAAAGGGCACCACTGGGCTACCAGGTCCCCTGCTTCTTTTCTTCACCCTCTGCACACCGCCACGCAGCCCATCGCTTTCTCGTCCATCCCTCGATTGTCGCTGTGGGACAGCATAGAGCGGTAGAGAGCAACCTGCGCAATGCGAAGTGGGGAGGTCTAGCCTAATTAGCGGCCCTCCTTTCACGTATACGCCAAGCAGCGAACTCGACAGCAATTTGGTTATCGCGAGAATCTCCTTTCCCACCGTCGCCCAGTCTTCTCCCTTGGAGTGAGATATCTCCTGTCCCTCCTTTTGTTAATTGCGACCGACGGCAGCCTCCATTGGACAATTCGTCGCGCCACCGCTTTACTTCCGCCTTTTGACCACACCCGCCAGCTGTCCTATAATACCAAAAGACCCACCCCCGAACGCCACCTGTGATCCTATCTCACCGGCTCGCCGTCGCAGTCAGCCGCGCAAGTGCGCCTTTTCCACAACCCACCCAGCCTACAGACGCAGACAACGTCACGCTGGCTTCCCAATCCTCCTTCTCCACGTCCTCTGGCCAACGGAGAAGGCGCTCATCTGCTGCAAGGCAGGCGCCATCCAACATCACCCTCCCCGATATCGTCGAATCGCGAAGTAGGCTCGGCACAACTAGCGGTCTCTCGGGCCGCTCCCTGGGTGAAGGCCTGCCCACCATACCCAGTACCCCAGGCATCGCGGACATGTCTAGGTCCTCTTCCCCCCAGCCCGGAGGATGGTCGAGTCCAGGCTTGAACACGCCCTATGATAACAGCGGACAGAGCAGCCCATACCCCAATGGCTCCTCCTCACACAATGTCACTTGGGCATCGGCTCAGGCCCGGAGTGCCGAGGTCAAAGGCTACCCTGCTTTCACTCCTAGAGGCCAAGGTTTCTTTGGCAAGCACTTTCGCAAAATATCCATGAGCCTGCCCTTCAACCATGGCGACAAGGAAAAACTTGGTCGAGGAAGGTCTCAGGGCAACAAGGTCACGCGGGCTCTCAATGGCATAGTCTGGAATCTGTGGCGCCTGCGGAAGCGAGTCATGATCTTGTTTTTGGTTACATTTCTTCTTTTCTTTTGGAACTTTAACACACGTAAGTCTCAGCACTCGATCCTCTATTCTGTCTATTGGTACTGACGCCCGTAGCCATACGTCGAGCATACAGGCGTTCAGCATGGTTCGGTGGCGGCAGCAAATATGTCGTTATTTTGGCTGCGAATCAAGGTGGAGGTGTCATGGAATGGAAGGGTCCCCGTGAATGGGCCATTGAGCGTGATAGCGTTAAGAATAAGAAAAAGTATACCAGGAACTGGGGCTACGAATTAGAGATTGTTGACATGAGCACGAAGAAGCGCTACGCGCACGAGTGGAGGGAGAGCTGGGAGAAGGTGGACACGATCCGTAATGCCATGCGCAAATACCCGCATGCTGAATGGTAAGTATGCTGCAACCAATGCTGCAACCAACGCTCACACAGCACAGGTTCTGGTGGCTGGACACGAACACATTCATCATGGAGCCAACCTACTCCCTGCAGAAGCACATTTTCAAGCAGCTGCAAGACGTCACGTACCGCGATATCAATGTTTACAACCCTCTCAACATTACACATCCTTTGACAGACGACTACCTCGATCCCGAAACACGGTCACCGGTGGGAGATGGCAGAGTCGATTCTGTGAACATGCTGGTGCCTCAAGATTGCGGTGGTTTCAATCTGGGCTCGTTTATGGTGCGGAGAAGCGTCTGGACAGACAGGTTGCTTGATATCTGGTGGGATCCTGTTGGATACGAGCAGAAACACATGCAATGGGAGCACAAGGAACAGGACGCATTCGAGCACATGTACCAAAACCAGCCTTGGATCCGTCCCCACGTTGCATTCATCCAGCAGCGTCAAATCATGAGTTTCCCTCCAGGTGCCTGCGGTGAGCAGGGCGACAACCCCGACATCCACTACCAAGAGAAGGACCGCGACTTCCTAGTCAATATGGCTGGCTGTGAATGGGGTCGCGACTGCTGGGCCGAGATGTACAAATACCGCGAGCTTAGCAACCACCTCAACAGGACGCCATGGGAGAAGTTCAAGGACGGCCTCTCGGGCTTGTTCAAGAGCAAGCCGAAGAAGGACGGGAAGAAGGATGGAAAGAAAGAAGAGAAGAAGAACTAAATGGCAATCGACGATGTATCCAAGGCGGTATCGAGTGTATTTCTGAAATTTCTCGCATTTTGATGAAGGCCAGGATTCGGCTTATGGGTTTACAATAATACTGATGCGCGGACGGGAATGCACAGCCCTGGGAGCTGCATACTCTCAGCATACATAATGCCGGAGTTGGCGTCATGCACCTATACCCCTACAAGGCTGACTATTTGGGAATTAGGTGGGCAGCCGGATGGAATGTGGCGTTGTCATTTCTACAAATGTTATTTGTTGGGTCCGAACGTTGCCTCGAAGTCAAATCATCGTCGTCCTTTGACCAGCTTCTCCGCACGCAAGCCCCCGCCATTCCCAGGGCTTGTTGGGGTGACGGTATTGGTTGTCGAGGTTATCTAGGTACCCTAGTTCTCTGCAGCATGTCTGCTTGTTTGGAAACCCTGCAAGATAGAAGCAAGTTGTCGACATCGAGTCCACACATTGCATATCTCGTGACTTTTGCAGCATGATGACGTGATTGATGGCGTCTGAGGTGCAAGTCTGGAGAAAGCACCTCGTTGCGATGATAGGGAAAGTCACTGGGTCGCTCGCAGAGCAAAGGACTACGGGCTTGCACGGCTGTCTCAAAAAACGTCAGTCCAGTGGCAGACGACCTCAAGATGTACATGCACATGTCCCGTATGCACGCAGGTGAGCATGCACAGATCCCACGACTCCAAAGGGGTAGGTTGATGAGCGGCGCCTGATTCGTCCATCTCCCACGTCCTCTTGCCAATGGTCATACGCCAGCACACGGGACACGGGGCCAGGGACGAGCAGCCGACTGCCTTCTCCGACTCCATCTCTACTTTCCTCTCCTCAGGTTGAAGCCCTATTGAGTCCACCACCAACCTTCGTTTTGGTTGCGTTTCTTTTAGGCTTCGCCCAACGCGACAACCACAACCCACGTTCCCCCTTTCAGGCCGTGCGCAAGCTGGGGAAACCGTACAGGTAGCGTCAGCGCGCTCCTAACTCCACGCTTATCTCCTGCTGCCGTCGTAGTGACTTGACGGCACAGCCCCGAGACCTCTGGAGCCTCATTTTGTATAGCTCTATACCGTCGTCTGCTGTTTCGCAGTCGCCCTTGCCTACCGTCGTCCTAGATCTACTGCGCCTCGATACCTCGAGTCCGAACAAAGAACCGAAGTCGGCACGGCCCTTGGGGCCCACTGGAGCGCATATCTCCCCACCTGTAGAGATAGGGTCCAAGCTTATAAAGACGTATCCGGACACCGGTTACTACTCGAATCCTTGAAGCTCAAAGGGTGCCATGCACGACCATCGGCCACAGCGACCAGGCCGCCAGTTTGCAAGTGTTGAAGAGTCGCATCGTCCAGACCAAACCATGGCTTCCTCACGACCAGTTGCGTCACTAGCCAGACCCTCAGATGGTACGTTTATCTCTATACTTGCCTGTATTCTTGACGCCTTCTCTGCCCTGCCCCTTCCACATCAGTGTATTCAAACATGAGCTTATATCAAGTGTACAGAGTCATGGATCGATATCGCATCGGGGCCCTCGTCGACCTCTTTGTGTTCTGCTACTGACGAGATCATTACGACTGGTCTTACGGTACAGCACGACTCAACACTACACAGGCGGCAGAACAGGCGCTCACGAGGCGGTGGCCAGTTCTCCATAGGAACTGGACACAGGGTTACAGCGGCAGGGGGAAACAGCAGCCAGGAGGAGTATGAAGAGAGCGAGAGCGAGTCCGACCGCGTCATGACATCTTCAAATGAGGCCCTTGGTCTGTCCCCACTGAGACACGACCCTTCGTCCCGAAGCCCACTCTCAGTGGCATCTTCGGAAACCCTGTCAGACAGAGAAGACGACGACGACGAGAATGCAACTGCTGTCAACTATCCACGCTCTACACGACGCGAGTTTCAGCCACGGCCGAACGCCTTCTCGCGTCCAAACGCACAACAAGCCATCCGATCACACTCTGGCACACTGTACACGCCTCGTAGAGCTGTGAGGCCAACTGGGCAGCGTCAGCAGTCTTATCCTCAGCACACTCCCTTCAACGCTGTAGCACCCAACTATCAACCCGACCACGACGAAGCTCTGCGCGCCAGCCTGTCGACTTTGTTGTCTGCAGCAGCAGCGGTGCGAGGACTACCCAAGCCGGGGCAACCACGTACAGCCCCGCCCTCTTCCACTCGAGTTGATCCGACGTCGCTCCGCATGGTACCCGAGTCTGTAGCTTTGGGCAACATATCCGAGGAGTCCACCTCATCCCCACGCAGTACCAGCAGCAGCCCCTCCGAGAAGCCCAAGCGTAAAGCAAACCCGCCCATGACAGCCGCACGAAGTGGCAGCAAGGACCGCCGCGCAGTCAGAAAGGTGCGCAAGTCGGGTCCGCTTATCGAGGAGATTAGCCCAACCCTGCTCACTTGGGTTGTGAGTGCTGGTGTTGTAGTCCTCGTAAGCGCTATTGGCTTCTCTGCAGGCTATGTTGCTGGCAAAGAAGCAGGCCACGCAGAGGCTCTTGGCCAGGTTGGTGCTGCAGGTGTAGACGCTGGACGTTGTGGCAAGGAGGCCGTATCTGGCATGAAGGGTACCGGCTTGGGTTTGAGAAAGTTGAGATGGGGTTCCGGCGCAGGCATTCGCGTCTAAGTGTTTGACGATGTTCACGAAATGATTACATGGCATGTAGCACGCACAAATATGGATGGGGTCAAGGCTGGCGTTCTTCTATATATTTTTTTCATCTTCGCTATATACAGTTTGTAATATCGATATCACGCGGCATGGCGCTAGATGGGCGTTTGGCTTGATTTGCGCCATGGTAGAGACAAATCTTGCAACTCGAGACTTGGGTTGCGTTGATAGCTCCAATACCATTTTATTTTCTGGATATTCCGACTGCTACACTTTTTCCTTCTTTCCTTTCCATTGTCTTCAAGATGGTACTAACATGGGCATTCCAAGTCACCCTCCAAAATACACCTTGTCAATATCAACCCCCAAAATAAGCCCAAACGTCGCCAGCATCAAGGACCCAACCAAGCCCATCACCAGATTGACTTCCCACCCCGCAGCTATGGCCTTGCCCCTCACCAACGCATTCTGTAATCTCCAGAACCGTATCGCCCCGATCAGCACAACCGCGATACCCATGCAAATGAACGTTGCAGACAGTGGCTTCCCTATCTTGTAGAAGCCAAACTGAGGATGCGGATGCGGACTATGCTGCAGCCGGAAAAGCTGGGCGATAGCCACACCCGTTACTACGAGGAGGAGTGAGGTACGCAGGTAGCCGAGGAAGGTACGCTCGAGTGCTTCGGGAGGGGGGCCTCGTTAGTTTGTATATTTTTTTTGGATAACATGATGAAGACGTACCCAGGTGGTCTCTCAGCGATCCCTCTTCTATGGTCAGACTTATCTGTGTGCTCCAGAACTTGGTGACTGGGTCGTAGAATCGGGTCCTACACTGTGATGCGTTACTATCTTCCGTCTCTTGAGGCACATCTGGTTGCGTGCTGGCATAACGGCTCAACTCGTCGTCTCTCGGTACGTTATCTGCATTTGCTTCACTTGGTGTTGCAACTCCCCTGCGCCTCACGGACTCCAGCTCTTTTGCAACGCGCTGCTGTTCATGGTGTACCGCAACTTCAGAATCTGGGTGCTGTTCGTTCCGTGTACGGCTGTGAATATGTAGGGCTGCTGAGGGGAGATCAAGAGGCGGTATGGGTGGGGCACGAGATGGTGGAGGGTCACTCATGAATCAGGTCTGCGAAGTAAGTTCTGTAGTAACAAAGACAATATCCATAGCCAGGAACTGTTATCAGTCACGATCAATGGGTGCAGAGCCAGGGCGCTATATCTGACCATACTTTCTACCGATAAGACCGGTGGAGCATAGTGATGCGTATAAGGTTGGTCTCCAAGTGCGTCACAGGAAGCTTTGGCGTAGGGATGAGCTCGGATCATCGCATCGGACCGTCGCATTTCCTTGATTCCAACACCAAACCCCAAAACTACAGTCGCTCTCACTAATGCTGTTTTTATTTTTATTTTTACACTTCGACCTCGCCATACACCATGGAGGCACTGTTGCACAAAATATATGACCTCATTGATTACTACAGTAGCATTGCTATATAAACCGGGCAAAATAGCATCTGATCACTTTACTTTGACATGAACTTGCTGGCCATGTTCAACACACCACCAAGAGCGCTGTCAGAGCCGCCGCCACTTCCGCCACTTCCGCCACCCATCTGTGACTTCATGTAGAACTGGAGTGCAAACTTTCCGGCCTGAACAATGGCATCTTGCTTGGTAGCGCTAGCGTCCTACTTTTGTCAGTTGGTGTTTCGATAATCGGGTCAGTCAGCGCCTACCGTGTTGCCCTGGCTCTGTTGCTTATCAAACAGCTGGGCAGCCTGGCCCATGGCCATGCCGATGAACTTGTTCTGACCACCCTTAGCATCCTCATTACTGCTGTTGTTAAACATCTTCAATGCCTGCATAGCGGCAGCAGCGCCAACATTGTTCGAGCTGGCTTGACCACCTCCGCTGCCACCGTTGCCATAGAACTTCTCATGCTGCTTGACCGCATCATCTTCGTCTACACTCTCATTCTGGTAGCTGTTCTTGTTGCCAGCCAGCATACCAAGAGCACTGGTAAACAGGCTGGAGTCACCGCCGCTACCGTATTCAGACGCAGCATGCTGAGCTGCGCCAGAGAAGTCGTCGGAGGATCCACCATGAGCACCTCCTCCGCCGTACGACGTGCCAGTAGAGTGCTGGCCTCCCTGATTACCTGATCCGCTGTGTCCTCCTGAGCTGCCTCCATAGCCTCCCGATGGGCGGTCGTTATCGTCGTCACGTCTTGAGCCGCTCCCATAGTTACCTCCCGAGCTGCCTCCGTAACCCCCAGACGGACGATCGTTGTCATCATCACGTCCAGATTTACCTCCATAACCGCCTCCTGAGCTACCTCCGTAACCTCCCGATGGGCGATCGTTGTCGTCGCGTCTTGAGCCGCCACCATAGCCTCCTGATGGACGGTCATTGTCATCATCGCGCCTGGAGCTACCTCCGTAGTTGCCTCCTGAGCTACCACCATAACCACCAGACGGGCGATCGTTGTCATCATCACGTCTTGAGCTACCACCGTAGCCTCCGGACGGGCGATCATTATCGTCGTCACGTCTTGAGCCGCTCCCATAGTTACCTCCTGAGCTGCCTCCATAACCACCTGACGGGCGGTCGTTGTCATCGTCACGCCTTGAACCGCCTCCGTAACCACCAGACGGGCGGTCATTGTCATCATCACGTCTTGAGCCGCCCCCATAGCCTCCTGATGGGCGGTCGCTGTCATCATTGCGGCCTGAGCTACCTCCGTAACCACCTGACGGGCGGTCGTTGTCGTTGTCACGTCCTGAGCTTCCGTAACCGCCAGATGGACGGTCATTGTCATTGTCACGTCCCCCATAACCACTTGAGGTGCGATCGTTGGAGTTACGACGCCCTGAGCTGCCTCCGTAGCCTCCGGAAGTGCGGTCATTATCATTGTCGCGACCCGAGCTGCCACCATAGCCGCCTGATCTGTTGTCATCACCATAGCCGCTTCCGCCGCCCCCGGAGTATCCCTCCTGGGACCGGCCAGACTGCTGACCGTACTCGCTGCGATCGTTGTTGTAAGACATTGTTAGATTGTGGAGAACTGGTCCAGCGTCAGTAGAGTGTAGTGGGAAGGGTTGAGTGGGTAAGGCAGGGTCTAAGCACGCCGTGTAAGGGACCAAATTAAGCTTGCCAGTTCATGTGAGATGCTTGCAGCTTATGTTGAGTTCGTTTGGATCTACAGGGGCAGTCCAATGGCCTGTGGGGTAGGTCGCAAGGCCATGGCAAGGCAACGTGACAGATGCATAGAGGAACAGAAACAACTTACTATGCAAAGGAATTGAATGTTGATGCTGATTGAGGTTCAATTGAGTTGTGAGAAAAGATAAAAGGGAGATGAGTTCACAAAAGCAGGAAATCAAGGTATCTAAATGGCAGCTGCGGCTGTAGCTCCCACGCGCCTGGTGCCCCTCCACAGACTCCCTGGTTCCCCTCGCCCCACTCCTAATGACGTATGCCTGCACCACCACGCTGCAGGACCATCGCCCATGATTCGTGTCCCAACGCGGCTGCAGAACGTCACGCCAGCCAATTGAGCCGTGAATGAGATATCTCTCCGTCTTCAATGTCATACTTGGCATGGCCTGCTGGGTCCACGCCAGACAGAATACAGTATTACCGATTGCGTGTTCAAATATCCGCGATCTCCACCCCGCGCTATAAATACCGAAGTTTGTCACACTAATACGTCGAAGCCATGCTAAACTTATCCACCGAGGCAAGGTCCCTCTCAAAGTGGAACCTAGCAGTCCTCGTCACTCTGGTACTCAAGATTGATATAACAATCTCACACGACTTATGCGCGTTCTCACAACCAGCATAGCTATATACACGCTACCCTCCTCCCTAACAGCCCCCCTAATCTCTATCCTGCCTCGATCTATTAAATCCATAATTTAAAGAGTAACAGCCGATGATCCACCTTGAACAATACATGTGAAAGCTAAGTATCACTGAAACATGACAAGCTCAGATTGAACTACATAAGTCTTCATGTTACCTAGCCACACGTGCGATGGAGAACTTCCACCGGGCCAGAGGTAAAGAGAATATCCCAACTCCTCCAAACTGCAAATGCAGTTGACCGTATGATGAGAACGCTGTATACACTAGAACATAATTTTTATCCCACCCCTTTTCATGAGACATTCGCCCCAATTAGGGCGAGCTTCCGCTAGATCTTACACCCCAGCACTCCCTCCCTCACGTCGGATTTGAGCATTGGGCTATCCGTTTAGAGTGGCCTGCCACCAACGAAGTCACTCCACGACCTGACCTCGCTTGGGATACCCTCCTTCTTGGGTAGCTTCTCGCTCATACATTGAGCAAACAGGACGGCAGTCTGCAGCAAGTTAGCTTCCAGATTTATTAGTAAAAAGCAGAAAGACTCACCTTGGGCTCCATAAACAGTGGTACACCAAAGTCGACGGCGTTCCTCCTCATAACGTAGTCCTCGTCGAACAGGCCGTTCGCCCTGTACTTGGCCAGGTTGAAGCAACCGCGGATGTTGTTCTTCTCAAACACCTCGCGCAGCTTCCTCTTGTCATCTTTGGGGAACTCGATGACATCGACAGTGAGGCCCTCTGTGTTCTTCTCTAGAAGCTCCTTCACTTCCTTGTTGGCAGCAAGGAACCTGTAGCCAAGCGCGTGCACATACTTGGCAATCTGGATCAGAGAGTTGGAGTGTAATGAGCCAGGAGTGACATCACCACCGAACAAGAGACCTTCACCAGGCTGGGGAAGGCGGAAGTTCATTTGCGATTGCGCAGATGCCCAGTAGGCCTCGACAAGGTCCTTACCAAAACAGGCCATCTCACCAGTAGACGACATCTCTACGCCGAGGTAGGGGTCAGCACCAGCCAACCTGGTCCAGGAGAATTGAGGGACCTTAGTGGCGAGGTAGTTCCTCTCCACAGCCATGAGATCAGTAGGCTCAGGGACGTCACGGCCGACAAGAGCCTTTGTAGCAACATCAATGAAGTTGGTACCAAGAACCTTGCTGACAAAGGGGAAGGAACGAGAAGCACGGAGGTTGCACTCGATGACCTTGAGGTTCGGCTCAGAGCCCTCGACTTCCTCCTTGATGATTTGCATGTTGAAAGGACCAGTGATGTTCCAGGCCTTGGCAACCTTGTCGGCAATCTCCTTGACACGCTCTTGAATGCGCTTGTCAAGGTTGACTGGCGGCAGTACAAGGGTGGCATCACCAGAGTGAACACCGGCGTTCTCAACATGCTCGCTGACCGCATGAACAAGGACATTTCCGTTGGAAGCAACAGCATCGCAATCAATTTCTTGAGCTCCATCAATGAACTTGGTAATGACGACCGGGTGGTCGGGTGACACGTTGGAGGCAGCGAGGAGCTTCTCCTTCAGTTCATCCTCACCACGGATGACAGTCATGGCAGCACCAGAAAGGACGTACGATGGGCGGACAAGAACTGGATATCCAACAGAGCTTGCAAACTTCTTTGCATCCTCGTAAGAAGTAAGTTCCTTCCAAGCCGGTTGGTCTACACCAATTGAGTCCAGAATAGAAGAGAACTTGTGACGATCTTCGGCCTTGTCGATATCTGCAGGATCAGTTCCGAGAACCTTGGCCTTGCCAGACTCCTGCAGCTTTAGAGCAATGTTCTGGGGAAGCTGACCACCGACAGAGACGACAACTCCGCTGGCGGTTTCGAGCTCGTAGATATCCATCACACGCTCATAGCTGAGCTCTTCGAAGTAGAGCTTGTCGGCGACGTCAAAATCCGTACTGTAGGTCTCTGGGTTGTAGTTGATCATGACAGTCTTCTTGCCAAGTGCGTTGAGGGAGCGGGTAGCATTGACAGCACACCAATCGAACTCGACAGAGCTTCCAATGCGGTAGACACCGCTACCAAGAACGATGACACCATGGTCATCAAAGGTAACATCGTGTGACGAGGCGTTGTATGTAGTGTAAAGATAGTTCGTGTTCGCAGGGAACTCAGCAGCCAAGGTATCAATACGCTTGACCCATGGCCTGATTCCAAAGCCGGTTCTGCGGGCGCGGACCTCGTCTTCTGTGCTGTTAACTGCCTTTGCAATCTGCTTGTCAGAGAAACCAAGCTTCTTAGCCTTGAGGATAATCTCCTTCTTAAGGCCAAATAGGCTGCCAATGTTCTCAAGTTCCTTGGTGCAATCAACAATGTTTTGGAGCTTGTGCAAGAACCATTTGTCAATCTTAGTGAGATCGTGAACCTTATCAACGGAGTAGCCTTCATGGAATAGAGCTTGACCAACAGCAAGCCATCGGCGATCAGTAGGGTTCTTGAGCTCTTCATCGAGGTTCTCGCCGTACTTTTCGCCCTGGAAACCAAGGTACTTGGGGTCGACTTGTCGGCAGGCCTTTTGGAAAGACTCTTCAAAAGTGCGTCCAATAGCCATAACCTCGCCGACCGACTTCATAGAGCTGCCGATGTCACGCTTGACGTTCTGGAACTTGCTGAGATCCCATCGAGGCATCTTGGTGACAACATAGTCCAGACTGGGCTCGAAGTTTGCGGTTGTGGTCTTGGTGACGGCATTTGGTAGTTCAGGCAGAGTGTGTCCAAGACCAATCTTGGCTGCGGTGTAAGCTAGAGGGTAACCAGTCGCTTTGGAGGCCAATGCAGATGAACGAGACAGACGAGCGTTGACTTCAATGACACGGTAATCGAGACCATCTGGCTGCAGGCAGTACTGTACGTTGCACTCTCCGACAACTCCCAAATGCCGGACAATCTTGATGGACGCAGATCGGAGCATATGGTATTCCTCGTCGCTGAATGTTTGACTCGGCGATACAACGATACTGTCACCCGTATGGACACCAAGAGGATCAAAGTTTTCCATGTTGCAGACTGTAATGCAGTTGTCGCTTGCATCACGCACAACCTCATACTCGGCCTCCTTCCAGCCCTTGAGCGACTTCTCGACCAAGATTTGGGGTGACAGCGTGAGCGAACGAGCCGACAAGTTTTTCAGCTCTTCGGGGTTGTTTGCAAAACCAGAACCAAGACCACCCAGTGCATATGCAGCACGAACAATGATGGGGTATCCGACCTTTTCAGCAGCATCCAATGCCTCGTCCACCGTGGAGACGGCAATTGACTTGGCAATGGGAATATTGATTTCTTCCAAAGCGCGCGCGAAGAGATCACGGTCCTCGCTCGTCTTGAGAGTCTGGACGCTAGTACCGAGTACCTTGACACCGTATTTTTCAAAAATGCCCTTGGCATCCATCTGGACACCCAGGTTCAATGCAGTTTGACCACCAAAGCTGAGGAAGATTCCGTCAGGCTTCTCCTTCTGGATGACATATTCGGCGTATTCGGGAGTTACAGGCAAGTAGTAGATTTCATCGGCGAGCACGTGGGATGTTTGGATAGTAGCAATATTAGGGTTGAGCAGCACGGACTTGACACCGGCTTCCCTCAGAGCCTTGAGCGCCTGTGAACCTGCAATCCAATGAGCATATGATTATTTGTGTGTAATTGTGTTTAGTGGTATTTGCGCACCTGAGTAGTCAAACTCTCCGGCCTGGCCAATGCTGAGACCACCACTGCCAATGACCAGGACTTTTTTTACGTCGACAAGATCCTGTGCGCCAGAAATGACGCCGCTCTTGAGATACGCCTCGGCACTGGGCGCTGTCTGTGTCTTATTCCATGTTGACGCGACCTTTGTGAATGCCCGCAGTTGCCGGTAAACCGCAGGTGACTCAGTGCTGGAGCGGAGAGAAGTCAGAGGGCGAGCAGCGCGGGTTGTGAAGTTTCGCGAGCATGCAGAAGATGCCAATGAGCGAGTTTGACCTGTGAGGGTAGGTACGCGACGTGCTAGACGCCCGCAGAGAGCCATTTGCAGGCGGACAAGCGGCTTGAGGGCTGTGAGCTCGTTGAAGATGGGAGCGACAAAGAAAGGCGACGCACGCGCTGAAAAAAAGTCGCTCTGTGACCGGCGGGGGGAATTGAAGAAGTATAGCTCGACCCTAGCGGAGCCAGAGCACAAATGACTCCCTCAAGGTTTATGAACAATCTGTGGAGAAAGCTGCGATGCGGCAGCCAAAAAAATCCAATGGTGCACAACGGACCAATCAGGCTATCTCCGATAACGCTCAGATAAGACCGTCGGCGATCACCAACTACGCAATGGAGAGGGAGGTGAAATGCTTCAATTCCACGCTGGCATTGCGCATTCAAATGTTCGCCCGTCTACACATGGTGACTCAGTCAAGACGCACGATCCAGTCCGCTGCCAGTCTACCCGCCTCTCCATTGTCCCGTCTTGTCACCAAGAACCCCCCCATGCGGAGGACCGATTACGGCGCCGAAGATCGATCTCCATCCTCTAGCACACAGCGCGCCGATGAGCAGAATTTTTGACATCGTCTTGCAGAACTTTTCTCAATACAGTCACACGGGTACTAGCCTGTGTGTCTTGGCGCACTTGCATCGACATTGCATTACTACTTTGAGACTCGGGCACGCTTCATGGGTAGTCGTATTTCCCCCCAGGTCATTTAGCATGATTCGTTGCCCGACCAACCCTAAACTATTTCCTGACGGCCTCGTGGAGCTAGCTAACAACATTGACAGATTTTGCAACCGCAACAGTACAGTCATCGATGGACTCCAAGTTTTTTGAGAAGCTTTGTGGAGTCCTCGGCCCGTAGTACGGCGAAATATTGCTCGCTAACATCGAGCCGATGCCATGAGTGAGACTGCCTCGATCGCAGCGCCAATCTCCTCCCGTGTCTAGTACATGGACGTGTCGCGTTCTCCTCGCGGTAGACTCATCTCACCCTGCTTTTTTTGCTTTGTCTGCTGCTGCATGCCGCGCCTTGTACTCCCGCGGGCTCTCTAATGCTTTCTTTGGTACGCCGCCCAGTCGCTGCCTCGGACTCGGCTTAGCCCACATTCCAACCTGATCCTCTCGAGCCTTCTTCTCTGCTGCACGGTACTGGTCTTCAGCAGTTCCAAACTCTGCTCCTGACTTGGCTTCGTATATCGTCGCCAATCCTGCCTTTAACATCTCCAACCCCACATCTTTCTTGAAGAACCATCGGCGGACATAAACTTGGGCTACCACGCGGTCGTACTGGTCACGTCTATATATGTATGCGCGTACTCGGCGATGGAGGATAAGGCCGATGAGCCAGTCTTGGGCTTCCTTTGCAAAAGGCTGAGCCTCTCGGCCCCAGTGTGCAAGTTCAGGCGCGTCCACTCCAGCGATGCGTATATGAAGCTGTTGGTTCAGTTAGTTATATATCTGATGGCCACGTAAGCCTGGGACAGTGCAGTTCGGGCTCAGGACCCGATTGATACTCACTGTCTGCTGAGCCAAAGTCTCTTTCGTAGTAGGCACCCTCTTCCAAGGTAGCCATCCCCATCCTGCTATTCTACCGCCAGGCGTGTGGTAAAATCTGAAATTATCCGCGTCTCCTACACTCGTGACTTGGCCAAATAGACTTCTGCGACGGAAGTAGTCCGGTTTGATGTGGTTCACTGTTGGTATTCTTCGTAGATAGGCCTTGTAAAAACGGAGCGCAGCAACCAGTGATGCTGTTAGCGCAAGAGACGGAATTAGGGTCTGCGGCTCAGTCCATGACCCTGCAAAACCACCCGACTTTGTTGGCGCGGTCCATGAAGAAAGGCCGCTCTTCTTTTCGCCGTCATCATCGTTGCCTGACCAGGGCCATCGCATCTTTCTTCTTCCTTAAATGCGAGGTCGCGGGGAAAGGGTTGTCTGGGCAGACGACGAAAGCCGACGGGTCGGCTGAAGCGATACTGCGTTAACCCTACGGGGATTAGCTAGCGTAGTCGAGCACGTGATTTTATTCCACCAAAAGATCTGATGGTTTTTATGCGGAATTGATATGATTGTGAAATGAGGAAAAGTGAACAAGCTTAGGTCTGCGATTTCGTCGCCAAGCCCCCCCCAAAAAGCGGCATGATAGTGAAGACGAAACACATGGCAAGGCGACAGGGTCAAATGGCAAGATTGAAATATATCATGCGCAAATATTCCATGGTTGCCACTTGATACTCTGGAGTGCCTTAATATCTTGATATCATACCGGGTAGAGGTATATCACATGAGACGAATCTCGTTGTCAGATGAGCTTCAAGAGCCGAGATCCTATTACAATTACTTTGTATGAGCCCACACTATATCATCAGCTCACCATGTCAGATGGAGAACTGGTGGTTTAATCGCACTGGCTGACATATATTCTCCTGAGATATCAGTAATATCTCATATGTCTTTCTCTCTACTTTAAGGATGGGCACGCGTCAAGATGTACGGTCGGAAAGGCTAAAGGCAATGATTGGTGTACACAGGACAGGTGGCAATGTTCGGCTTATAGGGGTGTTGTGAACGCAGTACGGTTTGAGATGGAGGCTGGCTTGCGAAGGAGAGTTGGTTTCTACACATGTTCATCAGCTGTCATCCGAACAGGAACCAGTCTAAACCTACATGCGCGAAAAGGCCAACCGCAAGATCCTTACATTTCATGAGATGGTCACTGTCGACAACCTAGACAACCAAACCTGTTGAGCACATATAATTTGCACCCAATGTGCTCCCGTTAGAAGCTTCGAAAATGTTGATGGGGGGGGGGCTGAAGCTTATATCACGACGTGCTGGAGCAATGTTCGCTTCCGTACGAGCGGGGTCAGCTACGGCCAACCAGTCACTTTGTTGACGCCAAGCTGCGCATCAACGATCTGAATCTTTACACGGATCCATTGTCGCGATGACGGAGCGCGGAAGAATGTTTGAGCTAGTTGGAGAGGGCTGAAGTCAGAAACGACCGGGTTGGTTTCGACCGAGTTTGCCTAGGTGGGTATGGTGCGCTTCTTTCGTGCCTTGACCTCCAATAAGTCTGGGCATCCGTCCATCACCTGTCTGCACCCTCCCACCATCGCTACAAGTTCAACAAGGTCCCTCATGCTTTGCAGAATACAACGCCGCCCGCTACCCGCTACAACCTTATCGCTGCGATTGTGCGGCCAACGGCTGATTGCGGCTCTGTAGCGGCTTCCCTGTCAGGTGCCTCCCCGTCTTTCCTCCTCGGATCTTTATCAATATGTTCTCCATCGCATCCACAGCCGATCCTACCGCGCTCGATGACGGCTCGTACCTCTTCGATCAGAATCAAGATGATCTGTTGTCATTGCCAATGTCCAATGATAGTATTCATCTGAAAGGCGGTGTCGCACCTATACCTGGGTTTAGTAACTTGGGCTACGGCCGGGAATCGAGTGCATCGTCCGTGCACTACGGCGACTCGATTGATACATCAGAACCCAGCACAAGTCACGAGGGGGAAGGATCTACTCCAGGCACATTGGCAAATGGATACACGACAAACTACACTCCTTCGCCACTGCAGCATCCATTTACTCCAAACTCGGCTGTTAACGGCATGACAAGCACCCAGAGAAAACAATCCTCTTATCAAAACCCCGTCTCTTCACATACGTCCATCAACGAGAACGACACGAAAGCTCATTCATCAGCAAAGAAGCATCGGAGAGATGGCGCATTCATGGCAGGCACACCACATAGTCTGAGTGGCGAATCACAAACATCTTCGACTCCTGAGCTTCCACAATCACACGAACAGCCAAAGAAGCATCGCAGGACAAATTCTCTCCCTGTAAAAGGGAAGGCTGCCGAGATGAAGGCAAGTTCTAGCATACCTGCACATGTTTCATGGCCCGAATTCGGCCGGCAGTGCATTCTAGCAGCAGAGAACAGCCGGCTCAATCCATTCACTCTACACCCCGCCGAGTACAAGCTTTTACGTGAGCATGTCACTCACGCTCAGGTCACGATTTATCTGAACATTAGAAACGCGATCCTACGCTTGTGGCATCGTAACCCTCTGGTATACGTCTCTCTCACAGAAGCTGCAGGGTGCGCCCGTGACAAACGCTACTTTGGGCTCGCAAAGGTGGCATATCTATGGCTTATGAGACATGGATACATCAACTTTGGCTGCGCTGAAGTGCCGAATAATGCTGGTACTCTGTTGAAATGCAAAGTAAAGACTGCAACAAGACGGACGATCGTTGTAGTTGGTGCAGGCATGTCGGGACTAGGTTGCGCTCGGCACCTGGAAGGAATTTTTGCCCAACTTGGAGATCAACTAACAGATGCGGGAGAGCGGCCACCAAAGATTATCATCCTCGAAGCTCGTCCACGTGTGGGTGGTCGCGTGTATTCACATCCTTTTTTGAATCAATCCGGTTCTACACTCCCACCTGGAAATCGTTGCACAGCTGAAATGGGTGCTCAGATCGTTACAGGATACGAACACGGCAACCCGCTGAACGCAATAATTCGAGGTCAATTGGGCTTACCTTATCATGGCCTACGAGACAATACGATACTCTACGATTATGATGGCACGGTTGTCGAGAGAAGTCAAGACATACTGGTGGAAAAGCTGTACAACGATGTACTGGAACGGGCGGCAGCATTTCGAAACAAACCTACTGCTCACAGGACAGTAGAGGGTGACCGCAACTTGATGGCATTTGGCCGCGAGCCAGCTGACGTTGGTGGGCCTACCATTGCCGAGCTAGAAGAGTCTGAGGCCCCTTTGCCAGCAGATGCAATAAGTGCAGCATCGACAAAGCAAGAGAAGCCGACCACGGGGATAGAAAAACTGGCGGGGAGAGCATACCAGTTGAGCGCTGGCTTCGATCCTGATGTCACAGCCGCAAAGACGGTACAAGACATGGGATGGAAACTGAAGGATGGCGTGACAGACGACAAAACATTGGACCTCGATACGATTGCAAAGGCATCGGAATACCCGACATTAGGGCAGACAATGGATGAGGGACTTCGACAATACCAGTCACTTGTCGACTTGAAGCCCAGAGACATGCGCCTGCTCAGCTGGCACCATGCCAACCTCGAATACGCAAACGCTGTGAGTGTGAACCAGCTCAGTTTGAGCGGTTGGGACCAGGACATAGGAAACGAATTCGAAGGCGAGCACAGTCAGGTAATTGGGGGTTATCAGCAGGTTCCGCGCGGGTTGTGGCAATGTCCTAGCAAGCTAGACGTACGGTTCAGCACGGCTATCAAGACTGTCCACTACAACACGGAAGAGCAGCGACTTGGCAAGGCTGTCAGAATCGAATGCACCAATGGCGAATCATTTGAAGCTGATCATGTTGTCCTCACTACACCGCTGGGGGTACTCAAATCAGGATCTATCAAGTTCGAACCCCCACTTCCTAGCTGGAAGCAGGATGTGATTGACCGCATGGGGTTTGGGCTTTTGAACAAGGTGGGTCTGTTTATTCTGTCGACTGTACGCTTTCTCACGACATGAACAGATTATCCTCGTGTACGAGAAAGC